CTGGAGCTCCATATCGATGATTTGGAGCAGAAGGAAAAAGAAGCCACGAAATTGAGATTCATCCTTGGGCAGTCTCAGGAAGAAAATGCGAAGTTGGAGGAGCTGTTGATAATGGTGCGACAAGAAAGCCATGACTATCAGAATAAGGCAGCCAAATACGAACGCGAATTCAATGAGGCTCGTGAAATAAGTCGTATTGAAATCCAGAGAGTAAGGACATCAATGGAAGCTGACCTTGAGAACGCGAATCATCAGGTCAATTTTGTTCGTGCGGAGCTCGAGAGTCAGATCAATAATCTTGAAAATCAATTGGAGACCGCGAACATGGATGCGGATACGTCTAAAGCGAGATTCGAACTTCTATTAGAAGAAGCGAGAGATGCAAAAATGGCGGCCCTCCACGAAGCTGCTGAATCGAAGGAAATAGCGCTTCAGGAGCAGCGCCTTGCACATGAGCGAACACTGAATGACCTTCGAGAGCGACATGCCCGTGTTTTACACAATGGATCTGAAGACCGGCAGCGCGAGGAGTCTCATTATATGGAGTTGATTGCACTTCGGGATGAGCGGATCGATCACCTCCATGATAAGGTCGCTCACTTGGAAGAAAAGCTCGAAATCGCCAAGACAGCAGCGCGCACCGCTGCTCAAGCCGCACAGAACGCCAAGGCAGCACAAGTCATGTCACCCACTCAAGTCACTTCGCCGTCGTTGACATTCACAAAGGGTACTAATGTTCCCGAAAAGATATCCCCTCAGGCACTTCGTGAATCAATCCTGGTGCTGCAGGATCAGTTGCAACAGCGAGAAGGGTGCATCGAAGAGCTTGAGCATGAGCTTTCGCTTATTGATAAAGATGCACCGGTGAAAGTAAAGGAAAAAGAAACAGAAATTGCTTGGCTCCGTGAACTGCTCCATGTTCGTTTGGATGACTTGCAAGATATCATCAATGTGCTGTCACAACCATCGTTTAATCAGAGTGCCGTACGCGATGCTGTTATCCGCTTGAAGGCGAATCTACAAATGCAGCAGCAGGAGAAAGAGAGGTCAATGGCGGGTGGTAGCCCCCAAACATTCCCTTCGCTCTCTGCAATCTCGACTTTCGCCGCGTCACCACGTGCTCTGCCGCTTGCGGCTGCGGCTGCGTGGGGAAATTGGCGAAAGGGAAGGGAGAATTCTTTGGGGCCCAATATGGCCGATAACGGGTCCAACAGCAATGACAATACACCATCCAAAGCATCAAGTTCACAAAGCTTCTTGACCGGACTGTTAACGCCGCCTCACTCGAACATGCGCCCCCCGGCGAATCGTTCCGCTCCTCCGCCACGTTCTTATTCTGACAGCCGCCCACTAAGATCCTCTGGCGCGACCCGTCGCAGGCCGTCAACTCTCCAACCGGAGGCAACACCCCAGCCAACGGAGGCTCCACGGACTCCACCTCTTTTGCGAAAGTCAAGCTATGACCATGATGCGGAAGCGACGAATTACGATGAGGCGTACGCTGATGATAACGAGAGTATCATCAGTGGTATTCTCACACGGGGCTCGACCGCGCCAGCTAATGATGGCCCGTTTGGTCCGGCCATATAATGGCGATGAAGTGAAGTCGTTTCGCTTATATTAACTTTTTTTCTGGGATTTGCCCGGAAAACTGGTTTACCCTTTCTCCCATGTCGTTATTAATTTTTCCCCCTCCTCCCCATAACTATTTCCCTATTTTCTCGGTCTTTCTCATATCATCGATGCATAGTGATAACGATTTTCACGCCATTTATTATCTATCACCGTTTAATAATAATCTCTTTAGAATTCCTGTATATTTATCTCTCACTTTCGTTCTCTCCATCTGACCTTCAGTCAATCGTTATCATCTATACAAGTCTTTCATTCCAAAAATTTTTTAATCTCGTTTGCTTTCCTTGATTTTTGACTTTTTTGGAACTTCCGGGATATCCTTTTCCCCCAGGCTGCATTGAGTGGATACAATTTTTTGTTACTTTTGATCGACATTTGAGACACCCGTTTATACCCCATTCTCGAATTCCTTTTTTTTTTTTTTTTTTTTTTTTTTTTTTCCAATTTGATTTTTTATATCAGAATGTTGCTAGTATTTTCTCCGCTTTGACCAGATTGATAGCCATACATATATACATATACCCTTGCAATTTTTAGTATATCTGAATTTGGTACTTTAGATTATGAATGATATACAATGAGCTCGGATAAACGATTCCTGTTTTGGCGGCCCAAACTTGTTTTTATACTATGGTTTACGCTAATTTGTACTCTACATAGTCAGGTGCTTAAAATTCCCCAAAATACCCGTCAGTCTGGAATTTTGAAGAATCTTGGCCCGCCTGGCTGTTGGAAGCCCCATTATATACATACACACATTATCAAGGGCTGGCGCGCTATATAAGGAACCGGTCCGCTTTGAATCTCACCCTTAAAGCTAGAACAATATATTTGCAGAGTCGTGCCGGGGATTATCAACGAGTATTTCCCTGATGCGATACTATCTAGATTTCGTTTATATGCTTTGGGAATAATGTATCGTAATATCCATACGTGCAGCTTTAGCAAAGTCACATAGGGCGAGTGCGATGCACATTGGCGCCATTCGCGGATCTCCCAATCCAGCCGATTTTTCTTACATTACCCAAATCGAAGGCCGTCAGATGCCATAGATGGATCGTACACAAAAAATATTCATACCACAGGCCAGCCCAGACTCATTCGTCGGCCCGTTTCCAAGGGTATCACATTTCAAATAATGTGGTAGGTAGCTGGAATAGATTGCCGCAACTTAGTTAACTTCAATCTTTCAAATAAGAATGCAATGTTCTCGCGCATAGAGGTCTCTCAAGATCTCCACCGACGACCTTGCGCTCGACTTTTTCGAGAGCGATGACGGGAACGTCACGATTGCATGTCTCAATGCCAAAAGACCCAAATCACCCCAAAATCCAACAACCCTCTGCGCAGAAAACTTCAACATCGCACCCAACACCGTCAGATGGGTATCCTGAATTTCCTCTGGAGGAACGTTAACAATGATTGAAAGTGCTTTCCAAAAGTGTGTGTTCGGTAGCGGGTTTTGGCGAGAAGTTTTGGAAAAGTCTCGGAGGGATATCGCTGCGAATCCGGCTCCTAGGCCGATCATGCGTTCCTCGTGGACCTGCCGGGAGACGAAAGGTCCGTCTGGTTCGTCTCGCCACCAACCTAGTGCTGTTTTACCTGTCTGGGTGGATTCGCTGCCGTAGAAGCCCCAGAGGACGGGGCATACGACGTGATACTTCGCGAGCAGGATGTCGATCATGGAGCAACCTTTGTAGACGAATGCGTCCATAGAAAAGACTTGGGCAGTGAGGACTCCAAGGGGACCGGCACATTTCGGCGTTACGCCAGCTTCGGCCACTAGTTGGGCTATTATTGCCTTAGCAAATATATTGAGAAGGTATATTAGTAGCGCGGGAACCTTGCTCTCTTCGTTCACAACGTGAGGTGGTGGGAAGGCGATAAATTGGCGAATGTCGATGGAGGGTTCTTGTAGGGCCGAAGCTTTCTTGAGGATGGTGACAATCTCGTTGGTCTAGACAACGGTTAGAGCCGATATATCATGTCAACTGAAGGGTAAAAGTGGACCTACTGGAGTTCTGTTGGCCGCTGTATCGTTGGTTAACAGCTGGCCGACACATTTTTTGATTGTTCGGCGCATGTCTCCCATATGCTGCTTAAGAACCGGGTTCTTCTTGGTCTCGTCGACCATGTACTTTCTGAACTGCTTAAGGTGTTTGTGTAATTCGAGGTATCGTTTATGCTCAGTCACCTCTTGCGGTGTGCGCCGGGTTTCACCAAGAAATTCTCGAATTTCTGGTCTCTTTTGCTCTGCGACCTTTTTCTCCTGCTCCTTCTGTACCTTCAGTCTCTCTTCCTCCTGTTTCTTCTTCTCTTGTTCCAGACGCTCACGTTCCTCACGTTCCTCACGGGCTTTCTTCTCCGCTTCTTCCTTAGCTTTCCGAATGCGTTCAGTTTCTTCGGCCTGTCGTCTCCTCTGCTCTTCCCTCGCTTTCCTCTCAGCCTCCCGTCGAGCGGCCTCTTCCCGTTCACGACGCTCCTTTTCAGCTTTCTCACGTTCAATTTTTTCTTTCCTCCTCCGCTCCTCCTCTTCTTTGCGTCTACGCTCTTCTTCGGCGGCTCGTAGATGCTGGTGTAATGTTTCCTCCGCCTCTCGTCGTAACTGGTCCCGTTTAGCGGCGGCGGCACTCAATGCTGCATTGTGGACTTCTTCCCTCTCGCGATCGATTTGGTCGAGGCGTTCGTAGAATGATCGCCGCTCGTACTGTTTAACCCTCTTGAGCTCCGAATTATGTAGACGCACTTGCTCGAGGTCTCTGATGAGGTCCTGCATCAGCTGCTTGGAAGGACTGTCCAGCAGCCCTTTGGTGCGAGCCATGCTGACCGGATATGAGATGAAAAGAGGAGCACCCGTGGTCGAATGAGTAGTTCAGATGTGTAGAGGTTTCGTGGCCACGGGGGAAAAAAAAAGAGTATAGGGTCAAAGAACGGATAACTGCGAGGGTGCTAGGAGATGCAAGGTACACAGTGACATCAATGGTTAAGGGACAAGAGACAGGAGCTATAGACACAAATGATTGTGAGAAGCAAACAGGCTGATTTAGATTGGGCGAGAAATTCTTTTTTCTTCTTTTAGCTACGGACGTCGAGCAATTTCCCTCTCCTTCACCATCTCGATGGTTTGAAAGGACGAGAAGTTCCGTTGACTTGAACGAACGAGCGCACGCCCACAGACCACCTTACGATCAATGAAGGGGCGGACAGCTCGAGCCAACACCGCCTTTTTGTGCAACACTGCTGCTCCCCAGCTGGTCCTGCGCAAAATTGCTAAATAAAATCTTTTTATAACAAACGATTTTGTTATTATGTAGAGGGCCGACGGCGTGTGCAGGTCAAGGGACAAGCCGAAAGTCAAATCTGCAGGCGGAAAAGGGAATGGACCTGTAAAACAACGGATCAACCGGTTAGTAAAACGTCGGATGGCGCGTGGGAGAGGACGTCATGAGTATTTACAGATTGCAAGCAAGCAAGCGCCTGGTCAGCGGCAAATCTTCAATCCACCTCTGTCGAGTCGCGCTAAAGAAGAGAGAGCCCCATCTGGAAGCAGCTGGAGTTAAGCGCCAACGGCAACAGAAGGTCAAGGTTGTCAAGAAAAAGCAGAAGACAGGACAGACAGGGTGAGAAGGGCCGCGGCGGGTGTTGGGGGGGGACGGATGGATAAGGGTATGCCAAAAGACTATATTTTTTTGTGGTTGCGGACAGACTTCAAAGCCAATAGCGGGTGGGAAACCACGGAACCAAGAGCTGAAACGCTGCTGTTGCCAATGCACTTCTGCTGTTCTCTGGTTGGCTTTACATCACCATTTCGCCTTTGCAGAGTCTACCGCTTGTTGCTGTCGAAGTCAAACCGGCGTCATTCACTCATCATCTTCCAGCATCGCGGGGGGTGGGGAGAGAGAAAACCATAAGAACGCGGCAACCTTTAAAAAAAACGACTCTTCTCTTTTTCCTCTCTAATCCACCTGCCCGCCACGTTTGCTTTTTTTTCTTTTTCGCTACGATCCTGCGTTTTCGATCCTCCCCCGATCTTTCTTTACCAGTCATCAGTTCTCTAGCAGCCTGATTATTGATACGTTCGTCTTACAGAACAGCGCAGTCTCTCGTCTCCGCTTGATGCAGGGTGCTCCAACGCCACAGCGTCCTTCGATCTCGTGCAAGCTGACCAGCCAGCGTTCGCCCGCGCGATCACAGCGCCAGGGAAGCTCTCACCCCGAACAGGCCTAGCGCCTCTTGGAGTCACGCGCATTTGCCGCACTAGTCCCAACACGTACAAGCGTTCTCACCCGGCCGGTGGAGCCCGGAAGCACGCTAAGCCTGAAGCGGTGAGTGCCCCTAAAGAGGCCCAAGCTGGGCCGTCGCTTCCTCGCTGGCTCGAGTGGAGGGAACAGCCAAACAAATCCCCCCTTCGCCATCTCTTCACAGCAAGTTCGCCTGGCATCCTTGTTTGGCCGTTCTTCCTTCCTTTCCCATTCCCCCCCGTCCGCCCTCTTTTGCCCACCTCCAGAGCGTCAGAGCGTCATCTCTCCCTCTCTCTCCCCTTCTCTCTCTCTCTCTCTCTCTCTCTCTCTCTCTGTGTCTCTCCCTCTCCTCCCTTCTCCCTCTCCTCTCTTCGTCGTATATTTCCCTTCTTCCAGCTATACTGTTTCTTAATTCCATTTTTCCTTTTTTGTAATCTTGCTTTCTTTTTTCTCCGTTGCCGGCTGTTCCCTGTCCTTAAGCCTGTCCTTTTGCCTGTTACATCTTTCCCTCATTATCAGAGCTCTAGCTGTCCCACGCATGCCCAAAACTCCCGCAGCCTGTCTCGCTCTCTCTCTCTCTCTCTATCGCTGTCTTTGCAAACCCCCCACTCGGGCAACCGCTGCGGTAACTCGCTGCTTTCTGCTCATTGGGTCTAACTCGTGCTTTCCACCAACAACAGCAGTGTCTGCGCTTTCCCAATCAGTCGCAGCGTGGGCGTGTCTCGGTCCTTCCCCCTTCGCTGGGTAACGCCGTCCTTTCCTTCCACCCCTCCAGTGGATGCGTACAAACAAACAACCAAACTAATCCAGTCCGATCCAGTCGGATCAAGAAAGGCTGCCGAGTTCTGACAAACAACTATCCTTTTCCATCCCTCTTCCCCCCTCCTCCCCGGCTCACACCAGACTGCCCGCTCCGTGAGACCATCGTATCCCGTCTCCGCCCGTCTAGTCATTTAGGTGAACCTATCCAGCAACGGTTTATTCTATCTCTTTTGAGTAAATTGTGAGTCTGTTCAATCAACTCTCGTTTCGGGGTTCTTGTCTAGGCTAACATCTGCGTCGTATTTCCTCCGTAGAATACCGATTAATTCGCATCTCACTCGAAAAAAGGAAAGCCTCTTAAAACAGCCATTCATTGACCTCGAGTCATTTTTTTTTTCTGACAGGATCGAGTCTCGTCATTGAAGTATCCTGAATAGCTTGTCAGCATAACCTTGCTTTTGCTCCAGTGGCATCGCAATTATGGATCAACAAGGGCAGTCTGGGATCCCAGGTCCCACTGGTAGACGGCTGCACATCGCCCATCGGAGAAGCCCATCAGAGCTTACTCCTCTTATGAGTAAGTGCCCTGTAAATCCCTAGAGACCTATATATATGCGCAGCTGCGGCTGACATCTCAATCAGTGGAGCAATTAGCTTTACAGCAACAGATAGAGCTGCTTCAGCAGCAACAGCAGCAGATCGCTGCAACTCACCAACAATACGTTAACATGGGATATCTACAGCCCCAACAACCGCTGCAGCACATGACTAACGCCTACTCTCCAACCGGTATTCAAGGCCAAGGTGGCATCCCTAACATGCCATCTCATGGAAATGCGTTCCAGTTTCCGCAAGTCCAGCAACAACAGCTCGGCGTTCCCATGAACAATCCAAATCAACCATCGCATCGCCGCAACCAATCTGCTATGCCTAATGTTGGAATGGGTCCTCCCCCGGCTCCCTCCTCCGGGTCAGCTTACGGCGAGTTCAGCCAGCAAGGCCAAACCCAATCGAGTCAAAGTCGCGAGAATGGCGGTCAAGGTCGTGGTCGGGGTGCACCTGGTGGTGGACACCAACGTCGCCACTCTTTAGCTCTTCCAGAAGCCAGAAAAGCTGCCGAACTAGCACAACAGAAACGAACTACTTCCGGCTTCCAATTTCCAATACCCGGCTCTTCGGGCGCCTCTAGTTCAGGCCAGGGTGAAAGAAGTTCCACGCCCGAAGAAAAAGCGGGCACCGCTGCCACGAGCACCACGCCGCAAGCCCCACAAGGCTTGGGGGTCCACCGGGCTGGGAATATCCGTGCCGGTGCTCATATGCGCAGCCAGTCTCTTGCTGTTGGTAATGGTCGTGGGCCTCCCGCCAGGGGAGTTGGCGGATTCCAATTCCCCCAAACTGGAGATGGTCCCGGAGACGGACAGCGCCGCTCAAGTCATCAAGGACATGGTCGAACTGCCTCTAGGAATTTTGATAGCAATTGGCGTCAACAAGGCAACCAGGGCCAGGCGCAAGACCAGCAGAGAGGCTCCATGGGGGGTTTCAACCAACAGCAAGGCGGAGGTGGTTTTCAGCCGGGTCACCGAGTACGGGGCTCTGTAAACCAGTCCGTTGGCTCTATAGGTTCCTTCCAATATACCGGACAGCCTCAGCTCATCCAGCTGCCTCAAGGACCGGTCGTCATGGCACCACCTCAACTTTTCGGTGCTCAGCATCTGGGGCCTCTTCAATTAGCTCAGTTGCAGGCCATGCAGCAGGGCGGACAGCTGAACGGGCAAAATGTGTCACTGCAACCTAATCAACAAATCAGCCCTCAGCTCGCGGCCCAACAGCAGCAGCAACAGCGAAAGACCCTGTTCACCCCATATCTTCCTCAAGCAAACTTGCCTGCCTTGCTCAACGACGGGCAGCTAGTCACTGGTATCTTACGGGTCAACAAGAAAAATCGGTCCGATGCCTATGTTACTACACCTGACCTCGATGCGGATATCTTTATCTGTGGCAGCAAGGATAGAAACAGAGCTCTTGAAGGTGATCTTGTCGCCGTAGAACTTCTCGATGTGGACGAAGTCTGGAGTCAAAAGCGTGAAAAGGAAGAGAAGAAAAAGCGAAAGGATATCACCGATACTCGAAGTGGCAGCTCCGCCGGACTTGACAAAGGCAGATCCGATTCAGTCACAAACGGAGACTCTCAAATCGCTCCCGATGGAAGCATTCGTCGGCGAGGTAGTCTTCGACAGCGCCCAACACAAAAGAAGAATGATGACGTCGAAGTTGAAGGACAAAGTCTTTTGCTTGTCGAAGAGGATGAGATCAGCGATGAGCACAAGCCATTGTATGCGGGTCACGTCGTTGCTGTGATAGAGCGTGTGCCTGGCCAGATGTTCTCCGGTTCGCTTGGTCTTCTTCGTCCAAGTAGCCAGGCAACAAAGGAGAAGCAAGAAGCTGAACGTCAAGCCAGAGATGGTGGCCATAGTCGACCTCAGCAAGAGCGGCAACAGGACAAACCAAAAATCGTCTGGTTCAAACCTACCGATAAGCGTGTGCCTCTTATCGCTATTCCCACGGAGCAAGCTCCGAGAGACTTTGTGGAGAAGCACCAGGACTACGCAAATAACATCTTCGTGGCTGCCATCAAGAGATGGCCTATTACTTCTCTTCATCCATTCGGAACTCTGGTCGAGCAATTAGGCACCATGGGCGACTTGAACGTTGAAACGGACGCTCTTTTAAGAGACAACAACTTTGCTTCCGATGAATTTTCCGATGCCGTCTTGAAGAATGTTGGATTTGAAAATTGGTCTTTAGAAAGTGAAAGTGCCGCATCGCTGGCCTCGCGTCGTGATTTCCGTGATGAGAGGACCTTGACCATTGATCCCAACGGCTCGAACGCATTGGACAACGCGATCCATGTAAAACCGCTTGACGACGATAAAGTCGAAATCGGCTTCCACGTTGCTGATGTCACTCATTTCATCAAGTTCAACTCTCTAGTCGACAGGGAGGCAAAGAAGCGTGGTACTGGGGTGTACTTGATGACTCGCATTGTGAACATGCTTCCACCTCGTCTTTCAGGCGAAGTATGCTCTTTGCAGCCGGGAGAAGATCGCTTGACAGTCAGCGTTGTCTTCCGTGTGGACCCTAAGACGGGCGCTGTCGAGGACGAACCCTGGATTGGCAAAGGAATAATCAAGAGCTCAGGGAAATTGACGTACGATGAGATCGATGCAGCTATTGCTGGCAAGGAAGTTGAGCTTCAAGCCGCTACCCTTGATGAAGTTAAGCTGCTGAACGTGAGTGCTTTATTATTCATTCCCCACTTTGGTATAACGGTACTAATCCGCCGATTCCAGAGCATCGCGTCGAAGTTTAGAGAAGCCCGCTTCGGTCATCGATCAGCAGATGTGCCGCCGCTGAGACTATTTTATCAACTTGACGACGAGAACGTGCCTGTCATGCATAATATTTTTGACTCTTCTACAGCTCACGAGCTTATGGAGGAATTAAGCCACAAGACAAACTCCCTCGTTGCTAAACGGCTATTTACAGCTTTCCCCCAGAAGGCTTTCCTTCGCCGCCAGGCATCTCCCAATTTCAGGAGACTGGGAACTTTTGTTGATAGAATGTCCAGGCTCGGGTACGACATGGATTCCACAAGTAGTGGAACTCTGCAAAACAGCCTTTTCAAAATCCAGGATGTTGACTTGCGGAAAGTATGTGAAACATGTGTAGAGTTTTAAATGAACCTTGCTGATTAATTTTTCATAGGGCATGGAAACACTTCTGATCAAGGCTATGCGCCGTGCGAAGTATTACGTTGCCGGAACCGTCCGGGATGAAGAGCGACAGCATTATACCCTCAACTTGCCTCTTTACACTCACTTTACTAACCCGTCGCGCCGCTACGCGGACATTATTGTCCACCGTCAGTTAGATGCGATGATAAATAATGCTGACTTCCCGGAGGATATTGAAAACCTCTCTAAAACCGCCGATCACTGTAACAACAAGAAGGATTCTGCCCAGAATGCGCAGGAACAGAGCGTTCACATCGAATCTTGCCGCATCATTGACAAGAAAAGACAGGAAATCGGAGGTGACCTTATCAGCGAGGGCATTGTACTTTGTGTTTACGAATCCGCTTTTGATGTGCTCATCCCAGAATATGGATTCGAAAAACGAGTACATTGTGACCAGCTCCCTTTGAAGAAGGCTGAGTTCCGCAAGGATGAACGCGTGCTTGAACTATACTGGGAGAGGGGCGTACCATCTTCCGCCTACATTCCTGAAGACGAACGACCAAAGCCTACTCTAAGTTCACGAGCTGCGAACGCTGCCGCTGCTGCTCGCCAAGCAGAGGAGGCCAGACAGCGAGCCAGAGAAAGAGAGGAGGCGCAAAGGAAACAAACTGAAACGGGTACCATGTCGACCGATGATGTCGATGCTCTCTTCGATGACGATGAGGATGACATGTCCGAATTGGCAGAAATGGCAGCAGGCGTATCGCTCAACTCGCCAGCTGACCGCTCCACACAGAGTATGCCACCATCCCCAACGAGAAACGGCCATGTTCAAACGCCACATCGGACCCAATCCGATCCGAAAATAGCGATTAGCGCCGCCGAGGCTCCAGAGGTCAAACTTTCCAACAAGGAGAGATATATCAACCTCTTTAAACTTCGCGAGGAAGATGGCGAGTATATCCAGGATGTTACAGAAATGACCAGAGTGCCAATTATTCTAAAAACTGACCTTAGCAAGAGTCCACCGTAAGTTGACCTTTACCCACCCAAAAAGGTTGCTGGGTTGTAGCTTACAGTATCGAAATAGGTGCCTTACTATTAGGTCGGTGAACCCATATGCGCTTTGAAGCCGGTAACGACAAGCTGGGCGTATCTTTATAGCTTTGAGTGTGTACTGTGAAACGACAGTCCCTTATTCTGCCTGCTTAGGTCATTTACGAATGGTCAACATCATATATGCGGAGACTTTCCTCGACTGGTTGCCCACTTGCTACCCCAAACTCATTATTTTGAACTCTTCTGTTGATGCTGCATTTCATACATGAGGTTTCCCAGCTGCTGGCGTTCAGGTCCGTTGCTTCTTGCGCATATCGCCATATCACCTCACCTGTTACCGCATTGGGTTGAAATAAGAACTCTCACTCTTGCAAACTCAAAAGTCTAGTAGTCTGACAGCGAATATTCATGAAACAGGCCCAGATTGCTATTGACTACAAAATATTACTGGTGGTTCATGTACTGCTGCTTTGACAGAATTTGTCATGTGGCTTGTCTATATGCTTATTTCAAATTGCATGTTCCTGAAAATTGATTTTATACAGTGACACGCGAATCAACTCGGTATCTTTTCAATCGCCTGTGGTATATGCATATATTGTAATTGACGTTGATGTTCCTACAACTAACTTATTAGAAAATGCTAAAGGGAGATTAATAGTCTTGCATGTATGTATACATATATATTTCACATGCAGACACCTTGTATCAGCCATGGTCACTTCTGGTTTGTCTTCCCAGACCCTTTGTTGGATACATATTTGTGTGCACTGCAGAGGGGTTGATATCACTTTCACTTTTTTTGGTTGCAGTCAAGGATCCCCAGCATCTTAGCAGGCTCTACACCACAGCCTCATTTCATTTTTCTTTCTCAAAATAGTTAGTTTTCAACTTTGAAAGAGAACCTAATTGTTCCCGAGGAGCAAATTACATGGAGATGGGGGCAGAGAGTGTGTTAAGATGCTATTAATATATTACGGATCTACTCTGTGCCTTATACCATGATGTCTGGCAATGTGAAATGCCGGCTGTATTCTCTGTATCACGATTTACAAGTATCATTGGAAAATTTGGGCGTACATAAATCTACTCTTACTTCGCTATCTTATTCCAAGTATCATCTGCTGCTCTTAACTTTCTGCCGTTAAAGTAAGATCCAAGGACAACTCTTCAGACATCGGCTACGCCCTCGTACTTCTTTCGTTCACCATAAGTTTTCATTGGGACTGAAAACTGCTTCGCTGTGCAACATACATTAACGAAAATAATCGCTGTTGAGAAAAACCACCCATGCTATTTCATGACTGAAAGGAGGGACACGAAAGCAAAATAAAGCATAAGTAGCTGGTAAATAGAAAGGATAAAAAGGAAAATAGGTAACTATAGCCGTCTAAGCCCCGTTCGCGGCTTCGGTCTAACACTGTTGGTTGATACCTTGCGGGTGGCTGGAGGAGGTGGTTTGGATGGTCGAGATTTGGATGAAATGGTGCCGACGCCAGAAAGGGGGCTTCTCGAATATTGGGGCATGAACGCGGTAGTTGCGGATGGTGGCTGGGCCCGAGGAGCCAAGTTTGTGATGATGACGTTGCCCTTTAGCGATGTATTGCCGATTACGGGCTTGGATATTTCGTTATTTGCAGGGTGAGCATCGCTTAGACTTAGTTGCTGCTCGGCTCGACCCTTTGCATGAGCCGTTTCGGAAGCAGGCTGCAGCCGGGCTGTTGACTGGAACGGGGAAGCCGGAATAATTGGACTGTTTCTCGGATCTGCGATTTTCGGAGATTTCCGCCGTAACGTCTGTCGCTGGCCACGGTCGCTGTAGTTTATGTTTGCCGCGATGTTTCTCTCAGAATTGCTTAGAGCGTTGAAACCGTCCTCATCGTCATTAATCACAACCATTTCATCCGGTTCGGGCGGTGTGAGTGCGGAAAGCGGCCGTTTGCCAAGGACGCTCTTCCACGGGCTCGGCGGTGGGAAAGTGACAGGGGACAGTGACAGCGACGGGTCATTTTCTTTGGATGCACTGCCTAGGTCGTCGCCTTCATCTGAGTCCTCTTCCCGCCCGCCATTTAATTTTTGGTCCTGCAAGCTATCCCTTTTGAGTCTGATATCTAGCTTGGAGCTAGGCATCGGCGCATTATGCGACGTGACGTCCTTCTTCATAGTCACGGAGGATGAGCTTGACCTATTCCTCGACTGCGAAGGGGCCGAAGTCTTTGTATTTTGAATTTCGTCTAGATTTGTTTCTGGGTCTTCACCTCTTCTCTTCGCCTCCAGCGCAAGGTTTTTTAACTCCGGTGGAACAGGGGCATGTATGGATGTCATTAGCTTCGCCTGGCGCGCGAATGCCTCATAATCATCCTGCAAGAGGGCTCCAGCTGCCGAGTTCAAAGCCGAATCCGGATTAGGATGTATCAAAAGGCACGATATGGTCTCATCAAGAGTCAGACACGAAGCTCAAAAAGTAAACTGCCGTTCGCCGAATGAAAAGAGGGAGAAAGGGAAAAAAAAAAAAAAAAGGAAAACTCACAATGAGTACATCTCTCAGTGTTAATTTCGGTTCCCAGTCTCTCTTCAGGGTGTCCACACACACCGCGCCAGTTGATTCTTCGACATTTGGATGCCATATCCGTGTTCGAAATGCAGCTTTCGGCGGGCTTTTTGGATAATCTTCAGGGATGCGGAGATGTAGCCGCCATAGGCCCTGTGAGTAAGGCGTTACTGGGGGCCCAGCTAGAAGGATAGTGAGCTGTCTGAGATCATCCGGAAAGGAGGATTGGCCATTCGATGGGGGGAAGAAATAATTTGGCGGAAGGCCTGAGCTGTGAAGAGACGCATGGTCTGCAGCCAGTCTGCGAAAACCAGAAGCCTGTAAATATGGGACGAGACAATTAGCCTTTTGTATGGATAGCTATTGGTAGCTGCATAAAACAAAAAACCGTGATAAGAAAATATCCCCACCATTGCACTTCTGTGTCTGGTTTCACAAGGGAGCTTATTTGCTTGGATGGTTGGGGGAACAAGCAATGCCAAAAAAACCAAAATTCAAGGTTAGGACTCCTTTGGATCAACAATAACAGGATAATTACTCTGTAACTGGGAAAAGAAATTGTGAAGAGCGGAGTTGGCTCCCCGGGCGACGTCGGTCGATTGTCATCGGCTTGGTTGTTTTGCTTGGATTGTTGATGCTGCCCCCGTTGATCCAGCTACCGCGCCGATCGACGCCCAAAGCTTAAGGCTCGATGGGCCAACGCGTGGCTGGGTATGTAGGCCTGAGCAATCGCGTCTCGGGGCGCGCGTTCCGTGATCACGTGACGGGCTAGGACGTTTCCGGACGTGCAGACGGCTCGACCACGTCAGGCAGGATGCAGACGCCAGACGGAGGGCTGCCGGCGACGTTCCCCCTGGCGACGTGGACTTGTCATGCTAAATTCATGGGCTGGACCTCGAATAGGAGATCACGAAAAGAACAACAAAAGCTTAAAAAAAAAAAAAAAAAAAAGGCAAAACTGAAAAAAATATTATGCTCCCTTGTGATTTGGCAGAGTGACACGCCTCTCATGTGTCCGGATGAAAGGGGGATGGAGAATCAGGAATTGTTTCCAACCCGGCGAAACAAGTCAATGCGAAGATAATCAAGAGGCGCACACATCAATGTCGATCGTCATTTTGCCTGCATCAGTTCAGAGAAACATCTAATCACCAGGTAATAATCCTATGTATTGATTTGCTACAATGGAGGTATTTATTAATTTCCAGCCGATAGTTCAAATCCGTGAGCATGTTGAGAACAAATTCCGTCAAAGCCGTACAGGAGAAAACAAAATGAAGAGGATGGCAATCTAAAACGCCGGGTTCTTGAATGCGTACATAAATTAGACAATATTAAAGGGTATTTCGAAGCAATGTCACATTCTCTGCCACAAAAAAGAAAAAAAAAAAAAAGCCCCCTTCATTTTGTCAATCAGCTTTACTTTTTTTTCCTTTCTTTTTTCTTTCTTTTTTTCTTATTATCATGTCCTAGTCCGGAGACCAGTACAGTCGATATTAGCATCGTTCGACCACATGGTACACAAAAAAAGGATGTTATTTTTCGATTTTTGTTGACGCGAACGAGTGTCCAAATACGGGCAATCAACTTGACAAAAATGAGGCGTCGTTTAAAGAAGAGCAGCGACGAGAGCACCGAGACCGAGACCGAAGCCAACGGCTTGGGGACCGCTGGTTGGGGCCATAGCCTCGGAGGAAGAGGTACCTGGGGCACCTGTTCCGGTTCCGGTAGGTCCACTGACAGTGCGGCTCTCGGTGTCGGTCTGACGGGATGTCATGGTGCTGTTACCGGGGATATGAGTGCCGGTGCCTCCTGGAGCAGTTCCTGTTGGTGGGATTGGGAGGAAGGTCATGCTCCCGGTGTCAGCGGGTTGAGATACGCTTGTGCCGGTTGGGGCGGCGGTTTGCTGCGTGTAAAAGTTAGCAAAAGGGCAAATATGCTAGACTCGACATCGAGAATGAGGAAAAACCGGTAGAACTCACATCTTGTGCGAGGCCAACAGCGGCCAGGGCGAGGACGGAGACGAGGGAGAAACGCATCTTGGGCGACGTGTGTGTGAGATCGAAACAGACAGCAGCTATGTGACGGTGGCGGAGAATAGGAAGCCGGAAAGCTTGGTGAGCAGCGCGTTTGTTGGTTTAGTGAGAAAAGAGGACGTCGACAGATATATAATATTGTACACGGGAGCAATAGGGTTGTTTTGCAGAACGGGGCGGGAGGAAAGATGGAAGGAAAACAACCTCACCTGGGGGGATTCGTAATCCTTTATATGTCCTTTCAGCGGGAGCAAATCCTATTTCCGATTTGGTAACAGAATCCCAGTAACTATCGCAACTCGATTGGGTGGCATTGGCCCACTCGGCTCTGCATTGTTTCGGATAGGATCACCGCTGCCTTGGCAAATTACACATCAACGAGGCTTGGTGACGAGCACATCCCTGCCCAGGGCAACAAACCGTGACCTGCTGTCACCATTGCCATGCAAGTCCAGCCCACTCGCGCTGGCGGAGCACGGGTTCAGCCAGCAAAGCCCTGGCAGATGACAGCGGTTTCTTTTACAACTTTTAACTATTCTATAAGTGACGGGGGAAGCCCGCAACGACAGACATTGCCATTCTTCCTCGACGCCGCAATTGGCTCTTTGTTCGGATTGGTGGCTGGCAAAAATACAGTGTGCTTACAGAGTCCATACATTACGGATGTACACGCAGCAGGGAAAAGAAAAAGCAACATTCCACCTGTCTCCCTTCGAGACGGCGGATCTTGTCAGACACAGCTGACGCCCACAACAAGCGATATTATCGAATAATGGGAAATAATAGGTAGCGCAGCTGGGTGAACACGTCCATAAATTATCGCCTGTTTCAAGATGGTAGAGGTTGCCCTGCCAAAGGTGTCGTGAAGAAACCCACCTTTTTCCGTGTGGGAACACCGTCGTTTGAACCCATCCACGATGGCGCCACCAAGCTTTTGTCGGCTGGAAGGCCACGAGAAAAAGTTGGCAACGCTCTGCTGATCTTTTTCTGCGAAGAGCCCAGCGCATTCGTAAGACCTCCCTTTCACCTTGCGATGCAGTGCGTCACGGCGCTTTGAGCGCAGACAAGCGACAAAGCGAGGAGGGTGGGTGGCCACAAAAATAGAAATAAACAAGTGGGACCGCCGGCTGGAAAAGACGCAGTTTGCTTGGTCCTCGCCTTGTCAGACGGTGGCCCACAGCGATCGACCCGTCCTAAACAGCCCCCGGTACATTATTAATTTGACGACAGAACATCAGCGACGAGCTCTGAGGGCCAGAGCTGCCGTGCCGGTCGAGCATTTTCTTCTTGCGTTGGAGGTACTCGGTACGGGGTTACAATCTTTATTTGTATTCCTTTTTTTTTTTTTTTTTGGATGAACTCCGGGTATACTTCTTATAACTAACTATGTACGGAGTACGGAGTATTCCGTACATATGGGGTGATTTTCGTACCGGTTTGTTCATACAAACAGAGTTCGCCTCCAAGCACTCAGGTCTTGCCAACCCCGGGTGTTCCTGGCAGAATCTCCGGGTGGTGTCCTGCCCCCTTTTAAAAAGGACGCATAATATATATGTATATGCGTTGTACCCCCGAAAATGTACTCCGCACCCTTCGCGGATTTCCCACCAAGTTCGCCACAGCCACGGAGGCTTGAATAGGAAGGCTAAAACGCAAGGTTCTCTCCCGCCGCGCGCTCCATCCGACCAGGACCCCCAAAAAGCCCCGGTGATTGTCATTTATGTCATGGTGTTAATGGAAAATAGACTACTCTGTACTCGGTACTTCCTCGAAACCTCGTTTTCTAGAAACTTGTGGCCCCTTCCAAGCGCTTGACGCAATGCAGTCGGTCATCTGAGCCTTAAAATAGATGCAAGGTCAGCTTTCACACTCCTATGAGCCTCAGCTCCAGATAATATTCCGTACTGTGTACTCCGTACTCCGTACAATCATCAACCTTGGGCTGAAGCGATCTTCTTTCTTTTTCTTTTCGTTTTTCGCAAGGGACTCAGGCCACACAAGCTCGAATGTGCCAAGCAAGACAGACACGGAGCACACACTCCGCACTCCGGACCCTTCTCTTTGCGGGCGAGTATTGCATCATAAATCAACTGCCGACGGAGAACATATCTCATTACGCATGCTGTGCGAGAGCCGAGATCAACAGCCGCAGTCAGCCGCGACCCAATCTCAAGCTGCACACCGGACAAATATTTTCTCGTAGGCGTTTTTTGGAGTAACTGTATTTCGCGGAGCTAAATGAACGACCCCGACGTGATCGACAGTAAGCATTAAATCCCGAAATCCCTTTGAATGTTGTCTGGGGTCCAGGCAGACGGAGAAAACCGCTCGGGACACGCAAGTGGTAAGTGGTTACCCGAGGAGAATTTCGTCCGAAGGGGCTTCCGATGGGTCGCAACATCATAACATTACACAATGCCACGCACATGTATGAACTAAGGACTATCTCATTTATGTATGATGATAATGGGTCTCTATATTCATGGAAAGCCGTTGGTCTGGCTGAGAATTTGCCATGTTAGAGACACATGGTCTCGGGCATTGGCAAACGCCGCGGAATGGTATGTAGCTTCGGCTGATTTCTTTTTGAATAATAGTGGGTATCTCAAAAGTGCATATCAAACGTATTGATGCAGTTCTCAAAGCCAGCCGCCAGACATAGCTACATACGAAGACAACAGTGAAGATAAGATGAGTAAAAAGTCCCTATAACCTACACGCCGAAATCATCGTCACCGCTTCACCGAGGATCCATCCTGCTGCCTCATCCAATCCGCAAACTCCTTCCTCTTCGCCTACCAAATTCATCAGCATGCGTGCACTCTCAATAAACACAACCCGCCCCCGCGCGGCCCCAAACTCCCCGCACAGAGCTAGTCGATATTAACACAACGTACCCTAATATCCAGAAATGCCGTCCGATCTTCCAATCCCAGAAACGGATTATCCAAGCCACCTTTCTTTTCGATCTCGCCGGCCCACGCACTCCAACTGATGGGCTGCGGTTTCTCAGCTCCAAGCACTAAGCCGAATATGACCAGAGCAACCGCGACGAGGGTCTCGAGGGTGATGTCCAGAGGAATTGGGTGTGCGCTGCCATATAAGGTGGAGTGCTCGTGTACAGAGTAGCCGCTTTGCAAGTGGACCAACAAGTAAATAAGTCAGCGGATGTCAAGAAAGTTATGGAGGGGGGGGGGGGGGGGGGGTTGTTCTCTCTTTCTCCCGAAGGGATTGACAAAGGCACTTACGCATGTGCAAGGAAAACGAGGCCGAGTGTGGCCAGTACACGTGGGAGGAATGCCATGGCTGCTGCAGGTAATAGGAGTTCAGTTGAACTTTTTTTTGGACAGAAGTCCGCATATATTTAGACCGCCGCGTGAGTTGCAGGACGTGACCGTGGTTGGTCGAAAATCCACATATGCCAAGACCGGAGCTTTGCGGTTCTCCCCAGGAATCTTCCACAGCCACATTCTGGAGTATGGAAATTTCGTGAGTCTACGGAGCACAGAGCGAATAGAATAATACGGAAAATTAGGCATTATTTTGAAATTCATTCAATCATTTTCATTCATTTTCAAGGTGCTAGTATGGGCCTAGCTTCCCACACGATCCAAGCTCGTGTAAATAAATTATCATGTTTAATTATCCGTCATTAACCTCCAGTCACAAACCTCCAGTCACAACCCACCGGTTGCGTTGCTTAAAGTTTTTGCATAGCAGCCTACAAAGGTATAAGTGATGATCTTTATGGGGAAAGAGGGAGAAGGCAACTTACAACGTCGGTAGACTGAACGTGGTCCTCGTCACCTTCGATCTCCTCCTGGAGATCGCTGACAGAGATCTTCTCGTCCTCGATGACAATATTGATTTGCAATTTCTTAATACCAAAGCCAACAGGAACGAACTTGGAGGCACCCCAGACGAGACCGTCCTTTTGAATGGCTCTGACATTGGCTTCCATCTGTTCTAAATCTGTCTCATCATCTACTCTAATGTTAGCATCATATCTCGGGTTCGAATCGACAAGGACAGTCTGGCTTACCCCAAGGTTTAACTTCCAAGGTAACAATAGATTTAGCAGCAGGCTTAGGCTTGGCAGCCTTCTTTGCTCTATACTCGGCCAGTCTCTTCTCTCTCTCAGCGACAACTTCAGGGTCTTCTTCCTCTGACTCGCTACCGAAGAGGTCCATATCATCATCATCAGCGGCAGCAGGGGCAGCCTTAACATTCAGTGGAATGTCAGAGCTCTCTGGGCCATAAGCGGTGTAAGGCTTGGAAGAATCTCCTGGCAAAGAAGAGAATTCCGACTCGTAGGAAGCAATGTGCTTGTACCAACGAGCAAGATGAGGATATTTGGCAGTGTCTGGGGCAGCATTGAGAGCCTTATAGGTCACGGCATCAGCCTGAGTTGGAGCATATCTACACATGTATACTGGTTAGGCACATAGTGTCGACAAAAGACAGTTATTGCGGTTGCAAGGGTGGTTGAACGACAGGAGCTCAGAGGTGCGAAAATCGCTATTGTGTGTAGTCATACAGCGGTGTCTTAAGCCGCCTCATAAACACGGACCAATTTTTTCTCATCATAGACAAATACGAGTGAAGTAACGGGGGCTTGAGAGCGAAAAAGAATGCAGAAGTGACTTACCCCTCAACGTAACTACGTGTGGACAGGTATTGGTTGGCGACTGGGCAGAGTAATTAGCCAAAGCCAACGAATGCACGCTTAAATAGCAAAGGTAGCTTACTGGCAAGGCCAGAATCGGTTGAAAGGTCGGCGAAACCCATGATGATAAAGTGTGGTGAAGAAAATTGAGAAATTGAGGGATGTGTGTGTGAGGGAGGGGTGGTTGCAAGGTGTTTCGATTGTTGTGGTTTTTAAAATTTTCTCTTCAACACGCACGGGGAAAGGAGCTAGTGTTAGCCCGCTAGAAAGGCTTAGTCATGCATGTCACATGACGGTCGATGACCGCATCAAAGTCTGGGAGGCCCGTTTCTCGGGGTTGAAGCTACCAGAGCTTTCGAGAACGCCGGAGACAAGGAAAGTATATAAGACGAATTGAAGCACACAGCACCCGATTGGACATGTCTTTTTTTTTCCTGTGTGTCTTGAGACACTGCTGAAGCTTTTTTATCTTCACACACACAAAATGAGTTCAACATTATCGACACGATTCTCCAGAGCAGGTGGACGGCTTGCGGTGCCAAGTTTGGGGGGCATTTCTCGATATCGGTTGCCCTATCGAGCATCCGAACAGAGCATCGCGATATCCCGCAAGCCATTGGCCTCCTTACCACGATACTTGAGACAATTGGCGCCGGTGTCGAATTTCGTTCGACATTATGCGAATGGTAGACCCCATCCTCCAGGCGGCACTCATCGTATGAACCTCGGTGGAGAACCCGAGAAACCGGCGCTTGAAGAGTTTGGCGTTGATCTTACTGCTAGGGCTAGGGATGGGAAGCTCGATCCAGTCATTGGCCGTGATGCGGAGATCCACAGGACGATTCAGATCTTATCTCGGAGAACGAAGAATAACCCGGTGTTGATAGGAGCGGCTGGTACCGGAAAAACAGCTGTCTTGGAGGGCTTAGCGCAACGCATAGTTCGAGGCGACGTGCCAGAGAGTATTAAAAACAAGCGAGTTGTTGCTTTGGACCTTGGTCAGCTCATTGCCGGTGCAAAATTTCGGGGCGATTTCGAAGAGAGATTAAAACGAGTGTTGAAGGAAGTTGGTGAAGCTCAAGGAGGTGTGATCTTGTTTGTCGATGAGTTACATACTCTCCTTGGGTTGGGGAAGGCAGAGGGCAGTATCGATGCTAGCAATCTTCTCAAGCCTGCATTATCCAGGGGTGAGCTACAATGTTGCGGAGCGACCACCTTGAACGAATATCGACAAATCGAAAAGGATGTGGCACTTGCCCGCCGTTTCCAGCCAATCTTAGTTGACGAACCAACCGTTGCGGATACCATCTCGATCTTACGAGGAATTAAGGATCGATACGAAGTTCACCATGGTGTGCGTATTACGGACGGAGCTCTCGTAGCAGCCGCCACATACAGTAACAGATACATAACGGATCGGTTTCTCCCAGATAAAGCAATTGATTTAGTTGATGAAGCTGCTTCTGCATTACGGTTGCAGCAAGAATCGAAGCCTGACGCCATTCAAAAGCTGGACAGGGAAATTATGACGATACAAATCGAACTGGAGTCGCTTCGGAAGGAAACAGACATAGCTAGCAAGGAGCGTAAGGGGAAACTTGAAGAACTTTTGAAGGGAAAGCAAGAAGAGGTTGGCAAACTGAACGAAGTGTGGGAAAAGGAGCGTGCACAAATCGAAGAAATAAAGAAGACCAAGGAAGATCTGGAGCGGGCCCGGCTTGACCTTGAACAGGCACAACGAGAAGGGAACTTTGGCAAAGCTGGTGAATTGAGATATTCTATCATCCCAAGTCTCGAGTTAAAGATCCCCAAGGAAGACGCTACGATTTCTGCGACGGATAGTCACTCTCTTATCCATGATTCCGTTACTGCTGACGACATCGCCGGTGTTGTCTCTCGCACCACGGGCATCCCAGTCAATAAGCTCATGGCTGGTGAAGTTGAGAAGTTGATTCGCATGGAAGATACTCTGCGCAAATCTGTTCGTGGGCAGGATGAGGCTCTTGCTGCTGTCGCCAATGCGGTTCGAATGCAAAGAGCTGGCCTTAGTGGTGAAAACCGTCCCTTGGCGTCGTTCATGTTCCTCGGACCGACAGGTGTCGGAAAAACCGAACTCTGCAAGAAAATGGCTGAATTCCTGTTCTCAACTGAAACGGCTGTTCTACGATTCGATATGAGTGAATTCCAAGAGAAGCATACAATTAGCAGATTAATCGGATCACCTGCTGGATATGTTGGCTATGAAGATGCTGGCCAGCTAACCGAGGCGGTTAGGAGGAAGCCGTATGCCGTACTCCTTTTCGACGAGTTCGAGAAAGCCCATCGTGATATCTCATCCTTGCTTCTACAGGTCTTGGACGAAGGGTTCCTTACCGATGCACAAGGTCATAAAATTGATTTCCGAAATACATTAATCGTTCTGACATCGAATCTTGGTGCCGACATCCTTGTTGGAGCAGACCTTACAAAAGGAGATGAGATCTCACAGGAGATCAGATCAGCAGTCATGGCTATCGTTCAGTCATCGTACGCACCAGAATTCCTGAACCGAATAGATGAGTTTATCATCTTCAAGAGACTCTCCCGCCAAGCACTGAGAGATATTGTCGACATCAGACTTCGAGAACTACAATCTCGGCTGGATGATCGACGAATTACTTTGCAAGTGACCGACGAGACCAAAGACTGGCTTTGCGATAGAGGTTATGATCCAAGGTATGGAGCTAGGCCTCTAAATCGCCTCATTTCAAAAGAAATCGGCAACCATTTGGCGGACAAACTTATCCGAGGTGAAGTGGTAACCGGTCAAACAGCCTATGTTGTTTTTAATGCAAACAAAACCGGACTGGATATCTCAACAAGCCCTCCATGATCAATATAGCGAGCTGACTCGACATTATTCACGATTTTATGATTGATCTATGTACAACATTTGTTATGGGAAATATCTTTGGAAAACGGATTGGTAGAAGGTAAATGCACTGTATATAATACTCACTGTATCATAGGTAGTGTTGAAACCCGACTCACGTAATATATACGCAAAAAATTGCTTCTGTGAATTACCAAATTTGGTAATTTCCACATCTTTCCATCCTTTCTCCTTTAGATTCCCCGCTACTCGCAAATAGGCACACATTAGGGCTCACTAAGCTTTGCACATCTCTCATCATCTCTATTTCTTGTGCTTTCTCTACATATTGAGTTATGTCACCGTTGTCACAGACAAAGCGACGACTTGCCGGTCGTAAGGCTACCCGAGCCACTCCTCGGCCCCGAAATGGACGCTCTTCAGCTGCCCAGTCACATGGACATAGTATCCTACCACGATCGTCCCAATCTCGAGATTCGACAGCTAATGTAAGCCCTCCAGCAATATCCCATGCAACAGAGGCTACAGCCGAATCAAGACAGGAGAACACCATTTCAGAAGGGGGCGGAGATGATGATTTATGCCAAATTATCATGGCCATTGATATGAAAGATCGGGGGACGGTTGGTTGCTCCTATTATGTTGCTGAACAGAAGAAGCTTTATATCGTTGAAGATATTGTCTCTGGGGGTATGGACGTCGTGGAGACATGTAAGAGCTTCGATGACAAAATACAATCCTCTCGCTGACTAGACACCAAAGTGAAACTTGATGTTGAACCGACGGTAATTATTCTTTCGACCCGCGCCGAACGAGACGCACAGGAGCCCTATAGAAATGGAAACGGCGAGACGTTTCTAGCTGATGGTGGGGCATCGACACCTTCCTAGGCTCTTGGGGCTCATTCTCACGAATTCCTTTAGATTCTCAATTTCGACTTCCTTATCACCTTGAAGTTCGGCCTATCCAAGAGTTTGGTTTTGAGAGCGCCAAAACGAAACTTACAAGTCTCAAACTTAGGCAAGGGAGTGCCGATATTCCCAAATTTCTCGTTCCTGGAAACGCTTTCTCCCACGAAAATGCGGAAGATGCCGAGGATGTAGGCTTCACTAGCCAACAAGGGGAACTTTTGTATCTCGCTGGCATCGTCGATATGGAGAATCACGTTTCGGTCGGATGTGCCGGTGCTCTTATAGCATACCTTCAAAGAAAGCGCTCAACCCAGGATTTCCAGGGAGATTCAGCTGGAGATCAGTTATTGAGGATAGACAAGATTGAGATGTCATCCTTGAAAAGCAATATGTAAGCGTTATTTGTCCGTATTGACCGCGCAGTTGACTTATTGGCCCTTGCACTAGGTTCATTAACAGAGACACTCTTTCATCGCTTCAAATAATCCAGTCAGAATCTCACCCAAATGCATTCAACCAAGGTCCAGGTCAAACTTCTTCTAGTTCCAAGGAAAGTCTCTCGATTTATGGTCTTTTCCACCGGTTTGCCCGTACTTCCCAAGGGAAAACAATGCTGAGGCAAATCTTCCTTCGGCCCACCATTCATCAGAGTATCATCTCTGAACGACATGATTTTATCAGTACATTTCTGCGAGTGGAGAATGCTGATGCCGTAGCAAAGCTGACCAAGAGCTTAAAAGGCATTAACAACTTACGCCCTGTTATGATTCATCTTCAGAAAGGGATTAGTACTGGAAATGCTCGTTTTAGGGGGTTCAAGAGTGTTGTTTGGGCCACAATTTTAGAGGTATGATAACGAGAGCAACTCTGTAAATGGAAACTAACACATTATCAGTTCGCCTTTCACACTATTGATATCCATGAAACCTTGAAAAAAATCGCTGGGGCTGAAAAATTGAACTTATGCGTAAAGGCACGGCCGACTGTTAAGCACATTTCAACTCCGAGCTAACTGAATTTAGGCTATGCATAAACTGGAATTAGCGAAACTACACCAGGTTGGAAGGGTGATCTATGAGACGGTATGGTATTCCAATTGCCTCTAGGTCGTATTCTCTGATGCATGCACAGGTAGATCTGGAGAGTTCAGTCCAAGAACATCGAACCATCGTAAGACCAGGAGTCGACCAGGAACTGGATAAAATGAAAGAAATGTATAATGGCATGGAATCGTTGCTTAGCGATGTTGCAGCCACCATTGCAGCTACCCTTCCAGAAGAATTGAGCAACGAATTGAATGTGATATACTTTCCTCAACTTGGCTTTAATATTGCTATCCCGCTCGACGAACACGGTAGACCAATGTATGATGGGGGGGATGAGGAATGGGCGCAAGTTTTCACTACCGAAAATCGGGCATATTTCAAAGATTTCCGCATGCACGAGATGGACGAGAGATTGGGCGATATGTATGGGAATATTTGTGGTATGCCCTCTATGTATCCGAAAATGGGGTTATGTTGATCTGATCTTTGACAATGCATAGCGAAAGAGATTGAAATCGTCTACGACCTTGCCCAAAGCATTCTGGGCTATGAGGAGATACTAGTTGAAGCATCAGACGTATGCGGAGAGATTGACAGGTATGTGCTTAGGGTTTACATATTTCGGGGTATTTATTGGAAATAAATTCTTATCTGGATCTAGCCTGTTAGCGCTTGCCCACGGAGCCGATTTGTACAAACTTGTGCGACCACAAATGACAGATGAAAACGTTGTCATTATAAAAGGGGGACGGTAACAAAATCATCCCAGAAGAGATAACAAGACGTGCTCACCCGCCGCAGACACATCCTCCACGAAGCCGCCGTATCTTCCTATGTCGCCAACGACACGTTTCTTGTCGGTGGAAAGGGAACTGAGCGATATCAGTCTCCCACGGATGACCCTAAATACTCCGGAGACTCTCAAGCCTCAGACTGTACGGGACCAAGTATGCTTCTGCTTACGGGCCCAAATTACTCGGGAAAAAGCGTATATCTAAAACAGGTATAGAGAAGGATCTGATGTGACTTTCAAGCATAGGTAACTGACTAGACTAAGGTGGCGCTCATTATCTACATGGCCCATATAGGGAGGTATGTCAGTGCACTCCGAAACACCGCTTGAAAGGCTAATGCTCTTATAAGCTTTGTTCCCGCGAAGACTGCAACAATTGGGGTTACTGATAAGATCTTAACTCGAATCACATCTCGGGAGACTGTTTCAAAGGTAGGAAGGACATTACCCTCTAATCTGTGAGTGTCTCAACTTTAACATCAAACAGACTCAAAGTACATTCGCAATTGATTTGCAGCAGATCTCGTTCGCGGTAGCAAACTCGACCAACCGAAGCTTGATAATTATAGACGAATTTGGAAAGGGCACGGAATCAGCGGGTGAGTCCTGGCCGTTCCACATTGTTTCTTAACCCTGACGCACATATACTGTAGATGGGGTAGGACTGGCTTGCGCATTGTTCGAATACTTTCTAGATCTAGGAGACGAGCGTCCCAAGGTAATAGGTGCGACACATTTTCACGAAATACTTGAGAATGAGTTCCTACCTCAAAGACCAGAACTCCAGCTTGGACACATGGAAGTCCAAGTGGATCCGGCTGCTTCGGAGCTACAAGATCAGATCACGTATTTATATAAGTTTGTATCAATGGTTTCATGGCAAACCGGGCTCAAAACATGCTGACCAAAGAATTAGCTTCCGATTCGGGCGCAGCAGCGAGAGCTTTGGAACCATGTATGCATTCAATTCCTCTATTTCTGCTTCCCGATGCTCATATGCATAGCTGTGCTGCGATGAATGGTATAGACCTAGCAATCGTTTCACGGGCGAATGAAATTGGAGACCTATCGCGCCGTGAGGAGGACCTTGTTGCTGCGTGTGCAAAGATGACAAATGCAGAAATAAACGAGCTTGAGGTTGCTGTAAGTGTTGATCAAGGTTTTGAGTACATCCAGGGACTTAAAAGGGACATCGAATGAGCAAAAAGCTAAAAGTCCTGCCCAGGAAAATATCGCAAGAAACTTTCTCCAAGCCAATTTTTCCAGGCCATTGTCCAATATTAGACAATGCAGCCAATCTGACACTGTCACTTCTATCCTCGACGGTATTGTCGGGAATATAAGTAATGCGGACACGAGCAGAGGCGGCGGAGAGACTTTTCAGGCTGGAAGTTCTTCGGATACATCTGTGGAAGAGGTCTATTGAGAATTTAATAACTAGTTACTCGATTATGTGGTATGTAGTTATGTAACGCATCATGTTCGAGCGGCCCAAAAACTTGGTACTTCATCTTCATGAGAAAATCATACCACGGATCCTAACCGTGATGAACCAAGAATTTTCCAAGCGTATCGTCATATACATTTAAGTATAGAGTATTCTTACAATTTAACACTCTTGACCAGATTCTTCTTAATACCTGTCAACTCTCCTCCATATCCACCAGCACCTTCTCCTCCCTTATACACGGGCCGTATGCTGCCCAGCTTTTTCTTCTTCTCCTCAAACTTCTTCCTCTTCTTTACACGGGGATTGCGAACATCCTTATTCCTCTTCGGAGCTAATCCTTTATTCTTTTCAATGGCGTATGTGATGGCTCGCTTTCCGCCAGGACCAATTTCTTCTTGGACCTCGACGTGACCACCTTCCCGAGTAGCTTCAATATATGTTTCGGCGAGTTTCTTCTTGTTTTCCTTTTTCTGCTTATTACGAGCAGCAACGAAATCGTAATAGTCGTCACTATCAGAACCCATTTCTCCTCTGATCTTCTTAGCAGCTCTGTAATCGTCTTCATCACTGTCACCACCAAGCCGCTCAAGCTCGTTGGCTTGCTGATGGCCTCGTTTCTCCGCGTTTCTATTTAGACGAGCCTGCCGGTCCTTCAGGCGCTCACGATACGGTAGATCTGCGTCGCCACCAGCATCACGTCCTGCAGCATCTCGTTTATTCGCCTTTTGCGCAATCTGAGATGTATAGAAACGTAATGACTTCTTTTTCTTCGCTTTTTCTGCAGCTTCGTAGGCAGTAAGCCCAATTTCGTCACCAAAATCCGAATCATCATCAGGGGCGGATGAGACCCTGTCTCGCTTCGATATATGTTTCTGCAGCTTATAAGGTTCTAATTGCCTGGAAAGCTCTTCCAGACTCGCTTCAGTCTGGCGTATTCTTTCCGCTCGTCGTAATTCAGATTCCATTTGAGCCTTGTCAGAGACCTTTTGTGCTTTTGTTTTCCGTATTCTCTTGGGTGTTTCTTCGACAATCTTGTCGTTTGTTTTGGACACGGGCTTAACAACGTTTTCCGGTATTTCACACACCGTAATGTTGGAGAATTCCGGTTCTTGTATATTTTGCACCTCTTCCCACTCCCTCCGACATTTAAGTAGAGTTTCCATAATCGGGTGTTCTCTAAGCTGGGCTGGTGCCATTGCAAGGCAACGTTGTTCAACGTCCCGAGCAGGGGATACTAGAAGCACAAAATACATGCTGATAGCTCCGAGATACGCTGAGAGGACACGCCATTTTATCAGCAGAGCCGAGATATCATTATCAGTACCGGCTGCCCTCTGTTTGAGAGCTTCAGAAAGCTCCTGGTGCAATTGTTGTAGTACAAGAAACTCTTTCGATAGCGGCTCGAACTCGGGGTATCTCTGTTTCAATAAGTTCAAACGGTCTCCGATGCTCATATCATCAGATATCTGCAATTCTGGTAGAACCTCTGTGATGGTGTCTCCGCTGGGTGCCTGCTGTCTATCTTCCTCGTTTGGCTGTGGCGTCGCCCAGCCGGCTTCATCAAGCCCAAAATCCGCCTCATTCATGGACTGTAACTTCTTTTGCTGAAGCCTCTTAGCTTCTGCCTCTTCCTCCAAGGCATCTCCCTCGGTTTCAATAATATCTGCGTCGTAGTAGTCTTTCTTCGAAGACCCCCACCCTCCTATCTCCTCGTCTTCGTCTTGAGCAGCCTGCGCATCTTCCGAGATTGGAGGGCTCGCAGACTCGCGTCCTCGTCGCCTTAAGCTTTTCCCTGGCGGGGAGGGCTCTGCGTATTCCTCCTCGACTATTGATCCATCTTCATAATCATCCTCGTCGTTGGACGATCGGTAGGCATGGATTTCTTCATCGGACAGCTGGAGAAGTTCCTCTTGAAAGTTACAAATCAGTATCGGCCCAACAACAATTTGGAGTATCTGACATACCATCCTCTGCCAATTTCCGTCTCCGTTTGGCCTCTGGAGCTTCATCAAGCAAAATGCGATCCCTTCCGGCCTGAAATTCGTCGGCGGAGTCGGTGAATTGCTCGTCGAGATCGAACCGCGAGTTCTCGCGGTATGCAGCATCTTTTGAGGCAAGTTGACCAGAAGATGCTCTAGACTTTCTCTTTTTACCCATGATGTGAGAATCCAACCGCGAATACTCCGCACACAGGCCTCCAGCTATATGCAGTGCGGACTTTTTCAGCGCTTGAGTTCATCAAAAAAAATTAGGTGTAATGACAATACAGGTGGTATAGACTTCAGCCAACCATAGCATGGTTTTGTGACTGTGCCGTGTAATATTGCATGTGACGCGGCGTGCGACCTGACTAAACCGCTTTAGGAAAGACCAATACTGTCATGTCGCCCCGGCCTTCGTAGCAAGTCGGCCGTCCCGACCGGGACAGCGTTTTCTGCTACCACACCCCCTGTCGAGCTCGCTGAGAAGAGAGAGCTTCGTTGCCTGAGCCGGAACAGAGCCCTTATGCTTGCAGGCAGGAAAATTAGCTGTCAATTCTTCTTGGTAGTTTGAGATTCAGGTGGAATAACCCATAGTTATTGCACCCTGCACGAAGCTGTGCGCAAAGGGGAGAGCACGCGGCTTTGCCTGCCGTTTGATACCCTCGAGATAGAGAAAGTGCTCTCGGTTCCGGGGTCTCTTTCTCTTCTCGATGCTGTCTTGCTATATCTATTCATCTACGTACGATCTTTATTTCTCAAATGTTTCCCTTCAAGGAGACTCTCTCGAATTTTGAGCTAGGAGTCGGTTTCGCTCTTTTCATCCTATTTGTATATCTATCCGCAATCATGTTAGGCTTCGCCACGACAAACCACTTTGTGGTCCATGAAAAGGTATGTCGATCTTCTTTTGAAGTTGACATATTTTTTACTCATTGCTAACGGAACTCGCAGACCGTGGTGATTACGGGTGGGTCAGAAGGGATGGGCAAGAGTGTTGCCATAGGTCTATCCCGCAAAGGTGCACATGTTGTGATTGTTTCTCGGACCGTAGAGAAGCTCGAGTCCGCTCTCGAGGAAATAAAGGTATGAGAGTTGATTTTATCGAGTGGGCATAAATTCGGTGCTCACTCCCCAGTGTAGGCTGCTGCATTCAACTCAACTAGCCAGAGATTTCACTACATCAGCGCGGACTTGAGAGACGCAGATGAAGCTGACCGAGTGCTTACGGAAGTGACCGCCTGGAACAATGGCATACCTCCCGACGTTGTATGGTGCTGTGCTGGTCAATCTTTACCTGGCTACTTTATCAATACTCCCACGCAAACCCTAAGGGATCAAATGGATACAATCTATTGGACTGCAGCTTTTACTGCTCACGCGACTCTGAGAAAATGGCTTGTCCCAATTGCACCTGGTCAAAATACCAAGCCCCGCCGCCGACATCTTATTTTTACGGCCTCTGCAGCCGTTTTTGTTCCTCTAACTGGGTACGCACCATATACTCCTGCCAAAGCTGCAATGCGTGCCCTTTCCGATACCTTGGTCCAGGAGGTCGAGGTCTATAATGGATCAAGGAGCAATCCGCGAAATGTCGCCCCGGCAGCAGATGTGAAAGTCCACATCATTTACCCAATGGGCATCCTTTCCCCTGGCTTCACCTATGAGCAACAGGTGAAGCCCGAACTGACGAAATTACTGGAGGAAGCCGACAAGCCCCAGACCCCCGAAGAGGTGGCGAGAGTAGCCATTAAAGGGCTCGAAAGGGGTGAATATATGATCACAACAATGCTCACTGCAACTCTTATGAAGGCGAGTGCCATGGGAGCCAGCCCACGCAACTATTGCCTTCGTGATACTATTACGAGCTGGATTAGCAGTCTCGCCTTCCTCTATGTCATTCCCGACTTGACTTCAAAAGCATGGAAATGGGGGCGAAGATATGGCGTTCCGGAAAAGAATGAACGCTATCGGAGCTAAGAACGCTTACCTAGGAACGCTGGCGTTTGCGTCATGGTCATGCGTATGGCATGCCCTTTGTACTGTACATACATACAACACACACCTAGATACCACCTCACGCATAAATGAGTTGGTAGTCGACTTAGCCTAAAGTTATCGAATACTTATACTTTACCTGATTAAGAGACAACATAGCAAAGTACAACCATGCATATATATCTCCATGTCACATCTTTTGTCGCGGAGAAAAATCCCTGCAATTGCCAGCTGGTGGGAGGTTGCGCCGCCATTTCCCAAAGCGGCAGGGGGAACGCAATCTCGCAGGTTACGACAGCACTCCCATCCGTCTCGGGGATGAAAGACGTCGGTCTTCTCCATCACAGCCCACATTTAGCCCAGAGAAGTATAGAAATCCGATCACGGAAGTTTCATCGTCAGAATGAAGCTGCTCATTGCCATTTGTCTTGTCGTTGCTTTTGCTTCCGGCCATGAGCCCCGTGTGAGAGGGCAGTATGACCCCCCCATGATTGTGGTCGGCGTTCAGATGGCTCCGCTCAATCCAGCCATTACCTGCTGGAATACTCTCAACTGCTCGATCGGACAAATCGAGTCAATGAAGATCAGAGACCGTATAGAATTCGTGCAGTTCATGGCGAGGTCGAAATTGAGATTTCTTGAATCTTCCAACCAATTCCGCGCCGTTGAAGGGACGATGGATTTCTTTGTTCGAAAAAGCATAGCAAACCGGGGGACTTGGATGTCTTACATCAACGCCGCTGTTGTTGAAGCCATCCAGCGGGGTGCAGCGATCGCGTTGGGTGAATCCGACAATACAGGCGGCAACCCGGCCACGTTAAAGTGGGCAGATTATTTTGATCAGCGTAAATTGGGAAGATTGATGAATCGTGATGTAAGTATTTGGATCCTGTCCTCTACTTGACAATGTGTTGTTGTTGTTGCTAACAAGCAGTTGTGTCAGGCACACGACCGTGCATGGGCCGTCGCGGAACAAACGGCCGTGGAGTATGGTATTCGACTTGCAAACTCCAAGCCGGATATCGAGACACCAACTACGAGGGAGAGACGATGGCAGCAGTTCACAAAAATTTATCGGATGGTGATGCAATACCGTCGGACTCTCCTCTGGCTCATTAAAATGTGCGTTGTCTGTCTACATATCGTGTCCGAAGTGGATTTGTGAACGGGGAATATGGAAGATAAACTCTAATTATTCGCTGCAGGGCTTTCAATTTTACTAGTCCGGGCTTACCAATGGCTTCGGAAGCTTTCTTAGACTGGTTCACAGATGTTACGGATGCGACGTCAACCGGATTCCTGGCAGAGATTGCTTGGACGCTGTGCGCATTAGGTCTATCTTGGGATGGTGAGGACCCTATTAAGGATTTGGAGGTCATACTCGGAATGGTCACCGAGTTCTGGGAAGCGTTTCAAACAAGCAGGCATCTTGATAATTGATCCAGGGCATACTCCGTTCGGATTAATGCAGTTCCCAAAGGCTCTCGTGAACTTTTCAATTTTTTTTTTTTTATTTTTTTTATGTTTTTTTCATGTGGACTCGTTAACCGCTAACTAGTTAATGAGTGAACTAAGGTTTCGGGTCGGAATAACATGGCTTGTTACCTCACGCTGAAGCGCAGGGCACAACTGTTTATGATGACGCAATAACCATGAAAGACTAAAGATACACCGTCCTTGCAAGCTATGCCTTAAAGGCATAAAAATTGCCTTTCGCATCTCAATCGCTGATGTCTACTAGAGTTAATAATATTGTGAAATATGAATCATTAAGGACACATTCTGTACTTGAGAGTTCGGCATTTATATCTTGTTCGCCCAACAGTTCTTCCCACCTGTGATCACAATGGGTGCTTTATTTTCGATTCCGATGCTCTCTTTTTTGCTAGTTCCAGCTATGTCCTCGTATGGTACGAGTTTGAATCTCTTATTCTTCTACATAACCTGGACAACCTTGGTGCTTTCGCATTCACCACTGAAGGTTGAGATTGTGGGAACCATTGCAGTCCGCTTACTGTTTTATTTGATACCATCATTGATCTTCTTCCTTTTTGATGTGCTCGTTCCTTCCGCTGCAGTGATATTGAAAGCACACGGATCGCATGGTCTACCGTCGGGAAAGAAAAGGAAAAGCGGGAAAAAGGAGGCCAAGGTAGCGGCGTGTGCGGTGTTTAATTTGCTGCTGGGATTGCTGGTGCAAGCATCCATCGAGGTCTGTTTGACGAAGGGATTAAAGATGAAAAGTGCGATAAAAGTTTCCACGCGATTGCCATTGCCTTGGGAGATTTTGACAGACCTCTTACGTGGTCTGTTTGGTCGCGAGGTATGCACCTTGCGGAGCGCTTGCACATGATGCCTAAGACGGGGCGCATGACTGCAAGAATTGCATTGGCAATAGCTTACGGTGTATTAGCTTCTTGAATATATAATACATCGCTATATTTTGCACTCATCGACTCTCCGTGTCGCCAAAAACCATGATACATGGTACCATGCGCTGCATACACCTTACCCTCTAACCGCTCATTACGACCATCCGATCCCATACCTTCTTCTAAGATTCCTTCCGATGTTTCTCCCGGCGGCCATCTTCCGTTTTCATTTACTGTCCTTTATCCTATATCTTTCGTTGATCTCCTTGGAAGAGACGTTTGCATACTCTGGATACAAGGCCATGCCTACAAGTTTCTTTATCGGAGGAATCGCGAAACGGGTCGAGATGCACCTGACGAATAGTGGTAATGGAAACTACTCACCATGGGGAATTATGGACTGGATTTTTGGAAGCTCGATCGGTGATAGCGTTGCCGATGACAGCCTCGAGGATACGGAGGAGTTTGATGTTGATGAGCTGGCAGAGAAACTTATGGAGAGATCAAGGAAGAGACGAAGAGGTCTAAAGAGGCAGTCGAGAAAGAGGACTGACTCCTAAGGTCTGCTAGTATTTTGGGTGGATGCTTCCAGATATTTATGGTGATGTATATCTCTGCGGAATTGTGAAATATTAGTCATTCTGTAGGTGGGAAGGGTTAGATATCCAATATGGGAAAAGGCGTCGCGTCGGTCGGTTCGATGAGTTCAGCACCAAAGTATGCTATGTTTTCAAGATGGAGTTGCGCGGCAATTCGAAAGCGCATGCATGGCACACCGGTCTGAAGGTGAATATTTGTATTGCAATTTTCGAGGTTACTATTTGCTTTCTGCAATAGAAGGTGTTTCGAAGTAAAAATCACCTATGGCAATTGCATAAGTGTACATATGTTTAATGACGTTTTGCAAATTTCCCTCTCTCGCATACAAACAGAAAAAGGACATTAAACCGTAGCTCCTCAACCCGCATCTACCATTTCATTTCATGAGGCTTGTCACCTGTCCGCAGGCTGAAAGTGGAGGCAAGGTAACTGCCGAGGAATGGCTCTTTCTTGATGGTGGCCAAAAGAGCCTGATCTATGGCCTTCTGGTCGGCGGCGCGTGCGCTGGCGACCTTCTTCTTCTGTTCCCAAGGATGAAATATTAGCTTCCACTTTCCACGTAATGAACCCCCTTTCATTTTACCAATAGATCTCTGTCATAAGGGCCACCATAACTTCACATACCTCTGGCTTCTCTCCCTGCTTGAAGAAAGCTTCTTCACCCTTCTTCTGCTCGGCCTTCTCGCGAGTGAAGTACTCGGGCTGCGAAACCTTTTCCAACGTTTTCTGGTCCACACCGTTCAAGTCGACAGTCGAGCTGGTGGCGATGACATATCTGGCGTTTACTCGTCGGAGAGGAACACCGTTAAGCTTGAAGGGACCGGTAACAAGGAGGACACCCTGGCCAAGGTGCTTGAGCAGGATAACCCGCTTTCCACGGAAACGGCCAGCGAGGAGGATGAGGATGGTTCCCGGCTGGAGGCTCGGGCGGAGCTTGGTAGGATGGGCAGTCTTGCGAGCCTGAGTCAAGTCAAAGACATATTGTTAGTCTCGTTCTATTAAATTTTCGTGAATGGCAATTCCACCGCTTTGTGTGCGTGTGACCGATCGAGTGCGAGATTCATCGTAGGCGCGCTATTCGTTCGATTTATCGAAATTCGAGATGGTCCGGAGACCCGGCACACCGTCGCACGCACACCGATCGTCGCAAAATCACGAATTGCAAGACAGCAGGAAAGAGCGTATACTGACTTTCTTCGGTTGGGGCTCATCATCCGCAGGATACCACTTCTGTGCCTTTTGGCTGGGGTGTGGGATCACTCTCTCGCCCTTTCCAAACTTCTTCGTCTGGCCAACAGACTTTGAGTCCAAAGTCGCCGACATATTGGCTGCTGTGACGAAGATTTTGGAAAAGAAATTGGAAATGTGACTGTTCCGGGTTGTCGACGGTGGGAGTTGCTGGGTTGAACAGTAGTTGACTTGGTCGCCCGGAATGCACTCTTGATGTGAGATTGATTTTGTGGGTTAGAGTGCCCTACCCATTAGCCGAATCGCGCTAGTGCGAATCTGGAGCTAGTGGCTGCGGTAGCCAATTAGCGTGCCGCATTCCGAGCTCCATCCGTCTTCCCCAAGAACCTCTGCCTCATCAGACATCATCGTCATCCAGAGTCCCTCGCAGATCGCCCGGTTGTGTTTGACGTACCTTGCATCCGCGCAGCTCTTTGCATAGTTATTATACCTTGAGTGTCTCCCGGCCACATAGCACCCAAGACATGTCGATATCTCCGATAATCACCTTCAAAGCAGGTATCTGCGATCTCGATGTAAGTTAAGTGCTGTTGCCATCAACCTTGGCCCCTTGTTGTCATGAGGCCTACAACGAGGAGCACAGCCCTGACGATGCAAAGTTTTCATCTGGATATCGCTGACATCTACCCTTCAAGACCTCCCCTACTCCTCCTAGAGTGAAACCAAAACAAACGCCGGGTTATATTTATTTGTATTCTGAGGATGACCTTGTTCACTTTTGCTGGCGCCCCCGCTCTGCCCCTCTCGACGAGCCAGAACTCGACCTGGTGATGGTCCCCATGGATGCGACCTTTACACCTTACAAGCCTACAAGCGCTGAAAATCCCCTAAATCGTGACCGACCCACCAACGGTAGAATATATGTCCTTAAATTCTCCTCCAGCTCCCAAAGGTTTCTCTTCTGGCTGCAATCGAAAAGTCAGCATGAGCATGGGAACCCGGCTTGGTTCAGTGCCAGGGACCTTAAATTAGGCCAGATCGTGAACGGACTTCTTCAGGGTGAGGAAATCGATGTTCAGGAAGCAATCGCAAGTTTGCCAAGGAACGATGACCAAGATGACGATGAGACGATGGAAGACGTTGAAGGAACGGATCACAGCCCAGACCATCACCGGTCAGGTGGGGGTGGTGCTGGACCCGGTGCCACCGGTGGTGATATTCGAGAAGAGGGCGAAGAGGCAAGGGAGGGCGGAGCAGACGGTGGACGAGCGTAGGTATTGCTCTCTGAAGTTGCGCTTTCAGAATTGAATTGTCTATCTAGCTTTGGACGGTGCTCGTCTTGACAAAGAATACTGAAAGACATTTGTTTTAATTTTTTATCCTTATCCTGGGACTTTACAAGTTTGTTACTAAAGGTAATTATTCTCCTAGTGCCGCAAGTGGATCGGATCCGTCTGCAGTCGTTCAAGATTTCCTACGCTCGCTTCAGGGCAGTGCTGTTACCCAGTCCGAATCTACAGAGAAGCCGTTCGCCACACTCAGCGAACTTCTCGCGCCCTCATCAACGATGGCCCTGGTCGAATCAGCAGACTCGAATGCTGTGGATCACCTTCTAAATTTCCTTCCTCTTTCTCTTTTACTGCTGGCACAGAATCGTAACATCCCAACGGCTGAAGTTCGCCCCGAAGAAGCGCAGAAGGCGATGGAATCGTTAAGCCTAGCCCAAAAGAAGGCCATCCTTAAGCGAGTGCTTCGATCACCCCAATTTGCGCAGAGTCTTGGAAGTTTGACCGTAGCATTACGAGATGGAGGCCTCCCCAGCATTAGCGATGCTTTGAACATTAAGGTTGAGAATGGAGGATTCATGCGTCGCGGCGGTGTACCACTCGGGGGAGGGGACGCTATACGGACATTCTTGGAGGGCGTAAAGGGCCATGTCAAGGAGAAGCAAAAGCCAGCAGATAGTATGGAAACGGATTAGACTTGTTGAGATACACCTTGTGCAGATCTAAGAGCATATTTTGGACCACAATTGTTAGCGACCACGCAAAACCTATATACTTTGCTTCATACTCTGTCTTCTGCAGCAAATGCAACCACACACAGGACTGTTGGCAGAACATTTGATTCACAGCCACCAAAAATAGCTGATTGAAACCTTGGCAGTCACTGTGTTGCTTGTTTATTGGGCCTTGTGAATGGTAGTCAAAGCTTAAGTTTTTGTGCTGGACTGCAAGCAGCTGTTTCACAAGGTGAACTGTCAATTGCCTGTCACAAGTCACTTGTGACAATGAACTCAAAGAACAACCTGATATCCTGAAATACATAACCAAAGGCAGTGCTGCGCTAGGAGGCTTGTTTGCGATATATAAGGCAGCGTACGGAGTACATTGAGTTTCAATGTGTCTCGCGAGGCTGCCAGACAATGCTTTGGCTGCTAATTGACTTTTCCATAAGGCTTAGGAACCGGGCCGTATTTCCACCTGCAATCGGGGCAATGAGCCACTTTCAGCTGGACGGGTGCTTCCAAGAGAACACGATGGGATCTGGCCAATGGGCAGCACGCAGAATGTCGGGGCCTCAGCCATGACGAAGCCTGTACGAGGATGTAACGGTAATTTACAGATACTTTGCTAGCCTGGAACATCTTTGGAACGTTGGTAAGATCATCCGTCCATAATGCATTGCAACTCTGCACTCTGTACTCCGTACCTGAGCCAGAACAAGGAACCACATTTGAGGTTCGCGCTTTGGTTACGGAGTCGACATCCTACTATTCCCGGTTCGAACAAAGCCTTTTTGTCTTATCAATACTTACCTTTGCGCCGGGGGTCTCGACTGTCAAACGACCCCTCTTCCTCGAACTCACCTGTCCAAAACTCCCCCCAAAAGTGACGAAACCTGGAACCTTATTCTCACACAAGCTGAGACTTCTTGTCGCTGAAAGAATAGTTGGTTGCTTCGAGTTCTTTTTTGCGGCGATGACTGGCATTCGATGACCACCGCCAACCACAATGGCGTCTTCTGGCAACGGCAACCAGGTCCCCAATAACGGACAGGGCGACCAGATCCCACTCCGAGACCTGTCCCGGCCTCCCGATACGGTGATAGCGGAGCATACCGGTCGACGACTAGGAAGAGCAAGGAGCGTTGATAGCGATGAAGGGTATGGCTTGGGAAGACCGTCCCTGCTCGGTCTCAGGCCCGGCGTGCGAAGATATGAGCGGATTGCGGAGGACTCTCCGAGTCGAGAGCGCGCGGATAGTCAGGATGGATTCCAAAATATCGATCTATCTCAAGATGGCGCCCCTAGCGGCCGTGGAGCGTATACAAATAATCCGAGATATTCGAGTGCTTCCGGCGAACAACGAGGAGCGGGATTGCGCTTTATCCCATTTGAGCCGATTTCTCAAACCCATTCTCGATTAGACAGCATTGGTGGAGGGAACACTGGTGGATACGGAGAGTCTGACGGTTTGGCTTCGCTGTCTAACATGGAAGCCGAATATTTCAATGAGAACGCCTCTCCGACCGAACCTGGCGAGACGGATAGAACGCCTTTGACCGACCGAAGATATTTACAACCAATAAGTGGCACTTCTGAAGGTCAAACCAGTCTGAATAAGACCTTAACCGGAAATAGTGGGCATAGCGTTCGTTTTGATGATTCTGTCTCAGGGACACGCCTCGGAGATGATTTACCACATCTTGAGGGTGGGCTGGGCAGAAGGCACAGCAGCTACGAAAGTCCGGCCAGCTCGCGGCTAAGTCTGGGTAGGTCGATACGCCTCACTCCGACTGGCTCAAGCTCGGCTCTATCACGTGCAGGGTCAATGATGAGGATGATGTCTCAGCGTGTGGTCAATCTCAGTAATGAACCGGAGCTCGTGGAGCAGACGTTACGGAGAAAGTCCTCGCTGAAGACTGCACGCTTAGAAGGCCCGCCTACCCTTCCAGCTATGGCGGACTATGCGCATGATATTCGAGGTAGTCCGGCGAAGACGCAACATGGGCCCCCAGAAAAGCCGTTTCCCTCAATACATGTCAGGCAGCGAACTTCCCAGATCAATCCGCTGAGAGGAAAATCGCTGGGCATTTTCTCACCAGAGAATGGGTTACGGAAGGCTTTGTGCGAAGTATTGATTCATCCTGCCACTGAACCAATCATCCTGATACTTATTGTCATCCAAACCGTTCTCCTCGCCGTGGAATCGTCAGTGAAAAAAAGAGCCATGGTTGGAAAATGGGGTGACAGCGCTTTTGATTATGCCTTCTTAATTCTTTTCACCATTTATACCCTTGAATTGGCAGCACGGATAATAGTCTCCGGTCTCATCCTCAACCCCGAGGAATATAGCACTCTCGATCGTTCGGAGGGTCTTAGAAAGGCAATAATTTCCAAAGGGCGAGACCTGTTCATGCCTCAACGGCAATTTTCGAAGAAAAAGCCCCCGAATCCTGTGAATAATCAGATGTCCATTTTGAGATCGTTCACCGGAATGCAACCCCAGGCAAATCACGCTGACGAAGCGGCCCAGCAACGCGCTAGACTTGCTCGTCGTGCCTTCTTACGTCACTCGTTCAACCGACTTGACTTTCTTGCCGTGGTCTCTTATTGGATATCGTTCGTGCTATCTATTATGTCGGTTGAGTCAGACCAGCGCTTGTTTGTCTTTCGAATGCTCAGCAGTCTTCGTATTCTTCGACTGCTCGCTCTCACTAGTGGCACTACGGTAATTTCTAAAACATACCTCCGTGTGTCTAATCCTGGTTCTAACTGATCTTAGGTCATTCTTCGAAGTCTCAAAAAGGCAGCGCCTTTACTCGTGAATGTGGCCGTCTTTATTGGCTTCTTTTGGCTTCTATTTGCTATAGTTGGGGTTCAGAGTTTCAAATCTAGCCTTCAACGGAGTTGTGTCTGGGTAGACCCGGAGAATATTAGAAATTTCACGATGAATGACGCCCCTGACAATATTCAACTTTGTGGGGGATATCTTGACAATATTACTGGTGATCCAATGCCCTGGCTTCTGCCAGATGGGAGCCGAGGGGCTTCTAAAGCTAAGGGTTATTTGTGTCCCCAAGGCTCTCGTTGCGTACAAGGTAGCAATCCCTATGGTGGGACTGTCAGCTTTGATAACGTGGCCAACTCCCTAGAACTCGTCTTCGTCGTGATGAGCTCAAACACGTTCACTGATCTTCTTTACTATACAACCGACAGTGACTACCTCGTTGCTTCGGTTTTTTTCATTGCATCTTTCGTCGTGTTGAGTCTGTGGCTCGTCAACCTTCTGATTGCAGTCATAACTTCATCCTTCCAGGTTATACGAGAAGAAAGCAAACAGAGTGCCTTTACGACCGATAACATAGATGATGTTCAACAAGAGGAGAAGGCCCCTGCGCGCGTTAGTGCATTAAAACGGATGTATAACAAGACATATTGGCTTTGGATATTTTTGATAACTTTCGATCTTATCGTTCAGGGAATGAGAAGTTCGTCGATGGGACCAGATCGCAAGGCATTTATTTACACTACGGAGCTTGCAGTAACAGTCCTCCTTCTCTTTGAAATATTCTTTCGGTTTGCATCGGACTGGAGGAATTTCTTTAGAAGCTCTCGGAACTGGTTTGACCTCGCCTTGGCAGTGATCACGGCTATTATCCAACTTCCACCTATTCACAATTCTGGCCGCGTCTATGCAGCCTTGACCATTTTCCAAATTCTCAGGATCTATCGCGTGGTCCTTGCATTCTCCTTAACTCGGTCCCTCATTATGACTGTCTTCGGAAACGTTATTGGATTGCTGAATCTCATCCTGTTCGTGTTTCTGATCACCTTCCTAACCTCGATTTTCGCCGTGCAGCTGTTTCGCGACCAAATTCCAAAGGAAAAGGACGGCGAAGTAACCCCAGTGTCGTTCTTTAGTATATACAACTCCTTCTTGGGAATGTACCAAATACTATCAAGCGAGGATTGGACATCGATTTTGTACTCAGCGACAGAATCAAGTGCCCCTTGGAAAACCTCATGGATCTCTGCGGCATTTTTCATAATGTGGTTCATTCTCGCAAACCTCGTTGTCTTGAACATGTTTATTGCTGTCATCCAAGAGAGTTTTGATGTTTCCGAGGATGAAAAGAGACTTCACCAAGTTAAAGCATTTTTGCAGCAGAAGCAACTAAGTGGCTCTTCTCAAGGGAATCTTGCAATATCCTCCATCTTCAAACTTGGCCGTGACCAACAAAGATACCGTGACCCTCTTGACCATGGACCCGCCGCCCTAGAGATGCTTCTTAAAGATGCCGTTGTTCACGAATTTCTGGATGAGCCCGCACCTTTACGGATGGACAGTCAACACCCAGAACTATCCACAGACCCTGCTCAACCCGGAGCATTTTCAAGTTGGTTTACCAAGCTCAAAGGTCGGGTATTGAATCGGGAACCGAACCCCTTTTACTCGAAGTTGAAAATCTCCAGGGATTATGATGAGCTCGATCCGACGGCGATGGCTAAAGAAGTGCTTTCGGCATCAGAGCAACGAAAACAAGCCCAACGGCAGTACTTACAAAGGTATCCGAGATATAATGTCTCTCTCTTCATTTTCCCTCCAACTCATCCGATGCGGCGTCTATGCCAACGAATTGTAGGACCTGGACGGGGCAACACGCGAATCGAAGGCGTGGATCCCTACAAGCCGGTCTGGTACACTTTTTCTGCCTTCATTTACGCTGCAATTGTCGCGATGGTCTTGCTGGCCTGTATTGCCACTCCTTTGTACCAGCGGACTTACTTTGAAACACATCGCTATGCAGTCAAAAATTGGTTTGTGTGGACAGATATCGGTTTCGCCATCCTTTTCACCGTCGAAGCACTTATCAAAGTAGTTGCCGATGGTTTCTTCTGGACACCTAATGCCTACTTTAGAGGCTCGTGGGGATTCATCGATGGACTTGTGCTGATAACACTTTGGATTAATGTGGCTGCTTCTCTGCTTCAGAACGGAGACGTGTCCCGTGTAGTTGGGGCATTTCGAGCTTTGAGGGCCCTGAGGTTACTTAACGTCAGCGACAGTGCGAGAGAAACCTTCCACTCAGTTATCATTCTTGGCGGGTGGAAAGTTATATCGGTAGGTAGTCCATTTCTCAATAACATCTAATGACTAACAACACGGTAATACAGGCGGCGTTTGTCTCAATGGGCTTCCTCGTCCCATTCGCTATCTATGGGTTGAACCTGTTCAATAACCAGATGAAAAGGTGCAACGATGATGATTTCGGATACAGCTCCCTTGCATATTGCGTTGGGGAATATAAATCTTCTCCATTCGCCTGGGATGTCTTAGCTCCTCGAGTTGTTGAGAACCCTTTCTATAGCTTTGATACGTTTGGCGATTCCTTGTTCATTCTCTTCCAGATTGTCTCTCAGGAAGGCTGGACGGATGTGTTATGGAGCGCTATGAGCATCACAGGTGTTGGACAACAACCTCAGCCATTCGCCTCTCAGGCCAACGGATTGTTTTTCGTGGCCTTCAACCTTTTGGGTGCCGTCTTCGTCTTGACACTTTTCGTCTCTGTCTTCATGCGAAATTACACTGAACAGACGGGAGTGGCTTTCTTGACTGCTGAGCAGCGATCATGGCTCGAACTCCGCAAACTGTTAAGGCAAATATCGCCGTCCAAGAGGTCGACGAGCAAGAAAAACAGCAAGTTTAAGGCATGGTCCTACAGAATAGCCGTGAAGAAGCATGGAGTTTGGGCCAAGTTCATAACCACTTTACTTCTCATTCATTTGGGACTGCTAGTCCTAGAGTTCCATCCGACAGTGGGATGGTGGGACCGAACCAGAGGTGATACGCCCCTCTGCCCTTTATGGTCCTGCTCTTACTAACTTTTTCAGATATTATTTTCTTCGTCTTGACGTTATTCTACATCGCCAATATAGCCATTCGTCTAATTGGCCTAACGTGGTCGCGGTTTCGCCGAAGCTCCTGGGACTTATATTCAGTATTGGCAGTGTCGGGAACCTTTGTCACTACGCTTCTATCCCTCATCGGCCACGAAAACCGCGCTTTTATGCAACTTCACAAGCTTTTCTTAGTATCAATAGCTCTACTCCTTATCCCACGAAACAATCAGCTAGATCAGCTTTTCAAGACAGCAGCTGCTAGTTTGACGGCTATTTCTAATTTATTGGCTACTTGGTTCGTCTTGTTTCTCGTCTATGCCATTGCCCTGACGCAGATATTCGGACTCACAAAATTCGGCGATGGAGAAAATAACAATATCAATTTCAGAACTGTTCCCAAGGCTTTGATTCTTCTCTTCCGAATGAGTTGTGGAGAGGGCTGGAACCAAGTCATGGAAGATTTTGCGACCATGGATTTTCCTTATTGCACTTCTGAGGATGAGTTCTTTCAGAGTGACTGCGGAAGTGCGGCCGGTGCTCGCACCCTTTTTATTTCATGGAACATTCTCAGCATGTATATTTTTGTCTCTCTTTTTGTATCACTTATTTTCGAAAGCTTTTCATATGTATACCAGCGAAGCAGTGGCCTATACGCCATCAGTCGAGAAGAAATCCGTCGCTACAAGCAGGCGTGGGCAACGTTCGATCCAGACGGGACAGGCTATATTTCCAAGCAACAATTCCCCAGACTTCTTGGTGTAAGTTGATCGCACTCTTTAACTGGTTTTGAGGTGACTTGCACTATTGACACTGCATAGGAACTTTCTGGGGTGTTCGAAATGCGTATCTACGATGGAGATTTCACGGTCGGGCGCCTTCTCGAGGAATGCAAGTTGAGCCGCCGTGAATCTCAGCAACCACATGTTCGTGCTGTAGACGGCGTGGATCTAGACAAGTTGTGTCGAATAATTGAAAGCCTCCCCGTGGGAGCAATCCGTCGAAGACGCGCCCGATTGAATGCATTTTACGAGGAAGTTCTTGTTTCTGCAGATCCGGAGCGAGGAATCTCTTTTACCTCGTGTCTGATGATACTAGCTCATTATAACGTCATTAATGATAGCAAGAGCTTAAGGTTGGTTTTATATGATCTTTGGTAACTATTGGCTTCAAAATTCTCTAACAACATCCCTTCAGATTGGAAGAGTTCCTTAGGAGACGCGCCCGTCTGCAACGCGTCGACGAAGCAGTACGTCGAAATGTTGTCGTCGGATTCTTTAATACCTTATACTGGTCTCGTCGATTCCGCCGATATCAAGAACTTAAGCACGACTCTCGACTGGTAGATGTGCCACAATTTTCTGTCCCAGAGATCTATGTCGAAGACGATGGCCAAGAGGACGGGGCTTCAGAGGGCCAGCAAAGTGGGCCACCGTCTCCATCCATGCTTTCGCCAACAAGTGATCGGTCCGGAGCGTCGCACCGCAGCTCCCGAACGCTACCACGCATTGATACAACAATAGCCACCGAAGATCCATTCTTCTCACCTACGCAGTCAGAATGGTCCCAGATCGGTTCACTATCGCCTCATCGAACTACTCTTAGCGATAGAGATACGGGACAAACGGATGACACTACTGGACGCTCCCGCGCTGGCAGTTCAGTTAGCGTTCAGGGTGTGATGGACTCTTTTGACAATTCCGTGTGGGGTGAGAGCATTAGGCGAAGTTTTACCCAGCGCCGCTCGCAGGGCAACTGAAGCCGGAAACTAATGGCGGAACCTTTGGTTCCCAGCCTTTCCCTTTTTTTTTTTTTCTCTCTCTTAATGTGGATTTTCAGTGGGGAAATTTTCATCAATGGATAGATACCCATGTATTATATACATTTATTTGACGCGAACACGATAGACATGATGGTGGGGATGGCCGTGTTTGGAGGTTATCTAATGATGGGACAGAGGTCAATTATGTTCTCTTCTGAGGGATGATTCTGTGAACAGGTTTGCAGCAATGTGGTCCCCGTCCGTTGCACAACAACTTTCCATTTAAAGTAAACCCCCTAGACCGACAGGCAAGCTCAAAATTTCCTTGATGTTACACACTTTTCTACTTCTGTTTGTATATTCCCTTGTTAAATAGTACCTTTCAATTTCACTTTTTTGCATATGTTGAGCCTGTGGTTATGGTGTCTGGAGGTATGAGCTTGATGTAAAACCGTAGACGCTCCTGCTCTCATTATTACTAAGCATTTACAGAGTGGCTGACCCCTGGGTGCAGTTTTTCTTCCTAATAGTCCCTTAACTTGAATGACCCTCTCCCTTCACATCCCAATAACTAGTTAATTCTTTGCTGATTCCCTATAATATCACACTGTGTTTGGTAGCACCAGCAAGCTTGATACATTATCTGGGAAGATGATATCGCAGGAGCCCTTGTTTGATGCCGAAACTTCGGTAAAGTAACCCGCTAGTAAGTCATCCCTGCTCAGGGGTTCGCTAAGCCTTGGTGTCAATGCGCGCCCAGATTCATGCGTACAGATGTGTAGTTACGGAGTATCTTCCTCGCCTTCCAGGCCCTGTGTACAATCTGGCAGAGGTACTATGATGATAGGGCACAGACAGACAATGACAAAGCCTCAATTGTCTGTGCTCTGGATCATGCTAGGAAAGAGGCGCACAATCATCATTCTATAGCAACTATACCACCTGAGCGCTCTAGATGAGTAACTCAATAATAACCCTTTGGCTTGTTGCTTTGTATTCTGGAGTTAGTTACAGAATAACATGTCAAGTGCGGTAACATCTTGTCCCGGGTTCAAACCTGTAACACAACCACTTGATGCCTGGAACCTGATTAAAGATTTCGTTATTTTGGACAGAGTACAGAGTAGAGTCGTGAGATATGTTGTTATTTAAGAACCTGGTCACCAAGCTAAATCCAAAGTGGTCTGAAGAAGGCGTTGGTCTGTTGTCAACACGTAGCACAAAACGGCTTGTCCAGTAGGACTGAGGAGTTATTCATGCATGATAACCAAGTTAGCACTCAAACTGCCCTGTACTCCACAGAGTAGCCCGTTGTGAGTTTATCTCAAATCACCTGTAACACACACAGACACACAAAAGGTGTTCAGTGAGGTAATGTTCACATGTGCAATCTTGGTTGAGAGTATACGGAGTAGTTACGTGGATCAAGCAGGGCCAGAATAAGCTCAAGACTTTAGGCCAAATCCTTACCCTGCTGCCAATTCGACGAAGCTGCTGGTGGATGGGGTAGAACGGCGGCGGTGCAGATGAATGGAGCACCCCACAAGAAGTCATTGTCGACGATGGATGACAGCTTGACTTCTTCCCCTGGTCTTTTGGACGGAGCCCTCCGTAACCTCCCATTTGAGGGAATGACGTCGTGACTTTTGCGTTCCCTGGCCCCGAGGTGGATCAATTCAACCCCCTTCTGCAAAGTGAGACAACCAGGGCCTGTTCTCGCGCCTTCTCCCGGCCGCCTCCCGACCTTCGCCAGTTCACCACACATGATGGTCAGACCTGGCTGTCACAGCGGTTGACTCAAATTAACCCGCCCTTCTCTTCTTTTCTTCTTCCATACTCGCTTTCTTTTCTTTTTGTTGTCGCCGTTGGACCCCCAGGCTGAGAGAGAGCCCGTCGCTGTCCCACCAGACCATCGAAGATTAGGTTCGCTTCTCTCCTGCCTGGCCTTTGCGTTGCAGTCGCCTGGTTCGAATCACTGACGTGGAGGATCATATCTCTAAGCTCGCCATTCCCTTCTATTATTATATTTGTCTGACAACTTGCCCACATTACCCTTCCTTCGTCTGGGACGTTCTTGACCCACGGTTTGACGGCCGTCAAGGGTAGCGGTTGCTGCTCTCAAACCTTCATTCTTTCCATCTCGTTTACGTCGGGCTCCGTATACGGTCGATCCGTGAATTCCTTTGTTTCCCGTACCATTGTCGATCTACGTTGCGCTTGTATATTCATACAGGGTGAAGCAGCTCTTCCTATTTTATCAACAGAACGGCAGTGCCTTATCTGTGTTATTGTCTTCTAAGCCGAGGATTATTCTCTGAAGACTTGTTACGCTGGACCGTCATCGAGCAGTCCCTTTTCAAGACGGCCGTACAAGAGTTGATAAGCCTCTTTGAGGCGCTTTCTCCCCCACCCCAACCAAAAATGGCTGAGAGAAATCAACCAACCCCCGAACTGCTCCCTTCTCCATGGACGGATTTCAGTCCGCTCCGAAATCCCTTCACGTACAGCAACTCGAATTCTACCGACTCTGAGCGAGGGAGCCCATTGACCTCGGCGACTTCAAGCCCCACTTGTTCTCCAACTTCGAGTCCCATAAGCGCGATCCGAAGCCATGCTTTTGGTCCATACCTTCGTCGTGCTCGCAGCCGAAGTAGGACTTCATTCACATCACGCTCGCCTAGTTCCTTCCGGCTTTCATCTCTGTTCTTACGCCGTCGCCCATCCACTGTTGATCTTGCACTGAGCGAGGAGCGCTCCAGGTGCTCTGCAGATGAGACCGAGCGAAAAAGTTTGGGACTAATGGAGCCTCGTCCGGTTGACCCGATGCCCATACTTGCGAACATCGACGAGGATGGAAATAAAACCCTAGGGTTTCAGGTGGAAGCAAAACCCACCACTTCAAATAGCTCCAGTGCGACCCACCAACCACGATACGTGATGGGTGGTATTTTCGAGGTCATGGAGGGAGCTGCATAGATACATTAAGCTGATGCAGCGATTGACTGGGCTTGCGATTCTATATGCGGGTCATATCACCTTTTCTCTCAACGCAACGTCGAATACCTGGAAAGTCGATATGCGACTACCGGGAGCTAAGTCTTTTTAATGCTTTTCACTGCGGCTTCCAACTGTTGGGAGTCGACTCTTCACATACCTTTACTCTTATTGAGGGAAATTCAGGGCTATTTTCATGTTTGTGTCCCTTCCCATGTATTTATCTTCCTCTATAACCTATCTTGCAACGAATCAATTCGTGCTTTTCCCCTGTACCCTGGGAAGGCCCGGATTTTACATGTCGAAGACAAAACTGTATATACAAGAATAAGATGTACTCTATCATGGATGGTCGCGTGTTATTGGTTCTACAATCCCGGAGCCTCTAGATCCCCACCCTCCTCGCCCAAGAATTACTATATATGAGCGGTCGCGAAACGGTAACACCATCCGTGGCAGCCGCAAGACACATATTTTGCAACAAATACAAAACGGGGGTTTTGGGTGGGCTTTCCAGCCCACTTTCGATACCCAGGTATTCGTCCCCTGCAGATTGAAGTGTCTCCAATTTTCACCAAGATGATAAATCATAGCTTGAAAAATATTACTCAAGTCAACTAAGTTGACATGCAGTCGCGTGGTCTAGTGGCTATGATTTCTCGTTCACATCAAGTTGAACACTGTGTTCCGAGAAGGTCCCAGGTTCGAACCCTGGTGCGACTACTCCCGCTCCCTTTTTTGCTCCCATTTTTTGCTTTCGAAAATAACTACAGAAGTACTCCGTACTCCGTACTCCGTACATAAAGCCTTTTTTGATCACTCTACTTCAGCCCTTAGGAGTTTGCTTCACTGGAGTCGTCGGTCCGACTGGAAGCCGGCGCTTACTTTCTTTATTTTTCTTACGCTGTTGGTACTCTTGTCACTAAGGCTTTGAGATTTGAGTGGGACCACTCTCTGAATAATTAATCTATTATGTTGCCTAGCTATCTTCCATTCCATTCAAAATATCAGAGACTAGGACAGCTGTAGGGCCCCTCCTCAACCCAATCTCTGGTACACTCACTAGTTAGATATTGTAGATCAAGAAACGAAAAATTCTGATCCAACTCCCATACCGAGAAGAACTGTTCCAATTCACAAGTATCAGCGAGGGATCGTATCTGTGCTCCTGAAGGCTTGGGGCTTCTGTAGAATGGGGCATCGAAACATTTTGGGAAAAATCCAGCAAACTCCCAATCGATGATACCATTAACTTCCAGAGTATCTGGATCGACGATGACATTGGATTGCGAAAGATCGTTGTGGCAGAACACATACCCTTTAGCTGGAGAATGCTTCGTAATCCACATTTCATCGCGTTGCAGTTGTTTGGCGACTGGTGGAGGACAGACAATACCAGTTGGTCCACCAATGCAACTAGAGCGTAGGCCTTGTAATGTTCTCTTATACCTTTCAATCTGCTCGATCACTGTGTGTTGATCAGAGAGTGGGAATTCTTTTAGAGGAACACCAGGGACTAGCTCTGTCCACAAGTGGTAGGATCCATCGCTGTGCTCACCGGCGTGAATGACGCGTGGGACGGGGATGTCAGTCTCTTGGCCGATGAAGTCTAAGGTGGCAGCTTCATTTGCGAGTCTCGCCGCGTTGTCGAGTGAAATGTGTAGTTGGCCACGGAAATCGCGCTGATATTCGCTGGGTGAAAGGGTTCTTTTCAAGAAGCAGTTATCGTAATAGCGGTAGTGCCTCTCGTGTGTTGTCCAACTTGCCATCCTGAATCTACACCTCACTTGTGACAGAGATGATCAGAGGTCGTTTGGACTGGTGGGCAGAATCCGGGCGTTTGATCGAGAGAGTCCAGGTTCTGACTGTGAAACGTCAAAACTTACTCCACGAGGGATCTCATCAATGGCAGACCGGATCCTTCTCAGGTGATCTGGCATCCACATGTCGTAAACATTCTTGGTAAACTTGTATGCACTCCACGTATCCTTCCCCTCCTCGCTGGTAAAGTCAAATGTTCTGATTGGGTGACGGTAGAAGGATGTCTTGTTCCCCTCAATGACTGCATAGTGGCCGTATATTCTCACTGTCCTGTGGTCGTGCGAGATCGAGAAAGCCAAGATCTCGCGATTGACCTCCTCCTCGCGTCCCACAAGTTTAAACAGCTCAACAACACCCCTCACAGCAAGGGTCATGCTGTGTGCGTTCTGTCGATCGGCGATGTCGAGGGCGGCGGTACCCTTAACCTCACTGGTCAAGAAAGGAAAGTACATGTAGAAGGTGGCTAGGAAGAAGGAGCTGTAGGTTTCCAGGTCATCACCAAGAAATGGCTCCAACTTATTTAGCTCGTCTTCTGTGAATGCAGACCGGCCAAACCCGACCGCATAATCAGGCTGCGGACGTGGTCCACAGAAGGCAATAGAGGAACCCCATGGTTCATTGACGCTTTCAACCAAACACTCGAGATTCTTAGCGCCACATGTAGCTAATGTCTCCGCCGCAGGAACAATCAACCGAGATAGATCTTGAATAACTCTTGATTTGTTTTTACTCTGTAGCTTTTGGTAAGCCTTCTGGAATTGGTCATTCTCAAATATTGTGCCTTCAGGAATCGTCTGTTTCTTGTCAAGTAGTGTTTTGCAAATCTGCTTGCTTCTTTCTGTTACTTCAAGTTCAGATTCAGCCATAAAGCTGCCTTTGGTGGCAAGGACGGTCTCATAAGTAGCGCTTCTGTATTTGGCGCTCTTTCCATCTCTCGATTCTTGATCAGTTGGTGCGTTAGAGCCTGTAGCAAGACTCGAATTTGAGTTCTTGCGGCGAAGAGAAGCTGTTGACTTTTTCTCTGCAAGAAGGTGGCTCATGTTTTCAATCTGTCCAGGCTGTGCTCTAAAATATTCTTTAGGCCAGCAGTCATTCCTGCACCAATATCTAGTCAGGTCAATCTTCTTCCAGTTGGTAATATGTCGCTTTTCTTCCTCAGGGGGGTCAATAGCTAAGCTCGGTAAAGACAATCGTGGTCGTTTTGAAGAGGAGAGTGTTTGGTCTTCAGAAGATCGTTTCTGATTTAGTTTTGTATAATGTTCTCGGGTCTGGATGCTGGTCGGAGGGTCCTGCAATATCTCCGTTGAATCAGTATCATATCACAGTGATACAACCGGAAGAAGCGCACATACAGTTGCAGAAGCCTTTTTACTGCTTAGCCGCACGCTCCTGCGGTAGGACTTCGGTTGCTGTTTCTGTGGTTCTCTCTTAACTCGCTTAACTTGTTTCCCTATAACAAGTCGGTCTGGAATACAGTAAAAAAGATCTGGAAATTACCTTTGTCTTCGGGTGCCACGCGTTTTCTGGCCACTATCCGCGTTTGACACTCAATTCTGGGCATCGTTTGATGATGAACCATTTTGAAAGATGGGAATTGGTGAAGGGTAGTCTTTTAATCGGACGAGGAAGGAGTGTGAATTGACCGAAGGTTGAGGGGAGCACATGCAATTTGGGTTAGGTCACAATGTGTTGACCGGAATATAGTTATTCCATTCCCTTTTAGGCTTAGCTTCAGCTGGCCCACATGTTATCTTTGAAGCCTATACACTCCGTAGAGACTTCATCTACGGAGTAGACCCGATAGCTATGGGTTAGTCCCTCGTCCAAGCTGCCGTGTGGCTTAGTTAGGACCGACCAGGCCAAGTACGCGCCCACACCCAACAAAGCTCCAGCCAGACTGAGCCCACTGTTTTATATCAAACAATTGCTCGTCTCTTTCAGAGTGTTCGTTATGCTCGGAAGACCGGCTCCCTTTGCCAGGTGCATCAGGTGTATTTCACCGGCTTTCTACCCTGCCCTTTATCACCAACTACCACCGCGCCCATTGAGGATGGGAGGGAAAGTGAGCTCCCCTGTGCCCAGTGCACATTACCCCAGTACATCGAGGCCATTTTCGGGCAATTCTGGAAACAAGATATATCCAGTCCCAAGTATGTATGAACGCACCAGCTAAAATGGGGTGCTAATACCACTCCTGCAAGGCCAAGGTCAAGATCCGTGCTCGTACACAGCAGGGCGCTTCCTCCACCAGGATGAGCTCCAACGCAACGCACGACATGTCCAGTTCAGTTTCTCTACACTATGTGAGGTTGCAATTGGCCTGTGCCAGGGCGCATCTCGTGTCACAAGCTATGAAAAGAAGGAAGGTGGCTATAACAGAGTTTTCGTCCTCGCGTGTGACAACGGCGAGCGCCTTGTGGCAAGGATACCTACGCGAGTTGCTGGTGCGCCACGGCTGACGACGAATTCAGAGGTTGCCACAATCGCATATTGTAACTCATCCGGTCCAAGTTTAGTCTTCTATGTCTTACGATCTCTACAGTACAGTCGAAGACCTCACTCCCCCTTCCCAAAGTCTTGGCCTGGAACGATGACCCTAGCAACCCCGTTGGTGCAGAGTACATCATCCAAGCACATGTGGACGGCGTCCTGTTACATGAGCAATGGCCTCAGATGGACGGGCTTCAACATATGCAATGCACCAAGCACCTGTCGCTGAAGATTCCGGAGATGACATCGCTCAACTTCCCAGCTTATGGGAACATTTACTTCTCCGACGCACCGATCGAAGCAGCTCTCAAAGTTCCACTGCAAGATGATGACCGATTCTGCATCGGACCATATTGTAGCCCGTTATTTTGGCACCGCGGGGCCGGGGAGCCTGAGCTCTATGGAGAGCCGAGTGAAAATCGTGGTCCATGTACGCTGCATTCCTGCCCAGATTTTCTCACCCGATACTAACAGCTGTATTGTAGGGAAAACGCTTGATGACTATGTATCTGGGCTAATAGACACCGCGCTCTCCCGTATACCCAAGCAACCGGACAATCACCTCCCATATCGCGGTTCTGTGGAAGAGCATATTCGCCTTGTAAACATCTGTCGAGAAACTATGCATAAACTAGTGCAGAGCTCTCGCATCCAAGAGGCTGGTACGCCGACATTAATACATGCAGACTATAACAAACGCAACATCTTCGTCTCCGCCGACGATCCGACTGTGATCACTATGATAATCGACTGGCAACTAACCTGCGTCGAGCCCGCATTCATATACGCACACATGACTCCAGACTTCGCAGCTCTCCCAGACACCGACCCCAGCGAAGATAATAATGAACCAAAATCCAAAGAGGAGGAGAAACTGCTCTCAGACCTCTCCATCTGCAACCAAACCTACAATGTGATCATGACATACAAGAACCGCAAGATCAAACCGGGAAGACTGCTTGATCCCACCTTTTTCCGTCTCTTCCACTACTGTTTTATGACCTGGCGCGATGGCATCCCCGCGATCCGCCAAGAACTGATTGATCTCAGCGCCCTCTGGGACAAGCCAGAACTAGGCTTACCGGCTCCGTACCCATACGCTCCAAGTGAGGGCGAACTTGCAGAACACAGGAAGCAGTATGAGGATTTTGAAGCAACGCAGAAACTCAAGACATGGTTGAAAATATCACTGCAGACGACATCCGACGGATGGATGCCCAATGAGCTCTGGGAAGACGCAAGAGAGGCGAATAGGATGGCGTATGAGCAGTGGATGGAAACGGCAAGAGAGTCCGAAGCTCGGGGCGATGATAGTATGACAGTCGAGAAGGCGGAGAAGCTGTGGCCGTTTGATGCGAGATAGACCGGGGGGAAAGCACCTAGTGATTTTTGATATTGACATTTTTTTTCTTTGCCTACCTATGGATGTTTTTGAGTCAAATACCCATCTCAAAATATTGTAAAGAAAAGTTGGCACTTGTTTCTAGGTTCCCACATAGAACGCTGGCGTCGTTGCGGCAAAGGTACTCAATTCTCAACAATCGGGAGCCCGCAGGGGAGTTTCCCACTGAGGAGGTAGACGAGGTGAAACGTCAGCGCCTGGAGCAACGCGGAGGAGATGGAAGGAAGTAGACAGGGAGGCCAAAGAAGTCCTGAATGTAGATTTATCTTTGTCTAGCTAATCCTGTGTTCGCAAGCCTCTATATTCATTGGCCTTTCCCTCTAAATTGGGTTTACCCCTCCTATTAGGTGAATTGCCATGGCGCTGAGGCATATCTGGATGAATTCGCAGATTAAGTCATAGTTGCAGTGTCGAAGGGAGCGAGCATAGTCGGCAAAGTCCATGGGCATGGTCCTATGAGGAAGGCCTCTCTTATAAGTTTTATACAGAGGGCTTTGAACTTGCATTAGCTGGGGTAGATACGTAATGGTAGCCTTGTTAGTGAAGTCCTTCAATATGGGATGTTTCAGGGAACAAAGTCAGTCGCCTGTTCGATACCAGCTAGGAGAGCATTCTTTTGGGGTAAGATTTTTGGACATGGCTAGGTACCTATATGGAACCATAAACCACAAGTGATTCACGCCAGATATCAATACCCAGCTTCTACAGATTTAAGCTCCCAGTCATTAAACAGCCTTTGGCAACAGATTGTGGGAAAGTAAGTCTTCAGCGTAGTACCAGCTTTGGCTCATCAAGATTTGAGCGATCAAATACTGTAATGACAGCTGGGGCCTTTTGAATTGCGTGATGCGTGACAATTGAGGGGGGCGATGGCCATACCAGAAAAAATGAGCTTTACAGGCAACTGTCAGAAAACATTTACTTATCTGATGTGACACATTGAACCACAGATCACAAGCTTGAAACTGTAGATCAACTGTATATTTAAGGTAGTTCACCACTAAATGAGCCACACCACTAAATGAGCCAAATTTTGCCAAATGCTCCACACAACAAATTTATTAAATATCTCAACAACCAGATCTTTATTATTAAATAGCTATTAAATATTAAATGAATGTGTTCTTTGAAGCATAGAAATTAGTGTAGTTAGGAAAATAAATAGGTGGACAATCTAATATTGCAGCCAGAGTGAGAGATCCAGGGGATAGATAGAAAAGAATTCAAAGAAATGTCAACAGTAGATTTCTTGGCTAGAGAGTCTAATATCTTGCTAGAAAGGCTTGTAGAGCTCTTACTTTCTCTTTTAGAAGATTGTATAGACTCTCTGTAATGAGAATCTTTAGTAAGGGAGTTCTTCTGATGGTGCTTTGAAGCCAGTGCTTGAAGCCCTAACTGCCAGTATTTAGTAGCATGTTTAACTGTCTGTTTTTTCTTTTCTGCTAGTTATAAAGTCTTCTTCTTCTTATAAGCAACATGTTGTGTCTCTCTTTCTCTAGTATATTTGATTTTTTTAATCTCTTGTTGCTTGCAGGTTTTTTTATAAGTATTCTTCTGTTTAATCTGTCTTTCTTCAGTATCTCTAGCAGTCTGCTTCTTTTAAAGCTTCTGTTGAAGCTTTGCCTGTTGTGTTTGAGTAATTTTATTAGCTTTTTCAGTCTCTATTTCATCCAGGCACTTGTGTGTCTTAAGAACTTTTATTGGAGACCAGAACTGTACTTGACTAGAATTATTCTTATTAAGTAGATCTAGAGGCTTGTCTTGCTTGTGATGTTGCTTCTTTATCACTAAAGTTAATCTTAGATGCTGATTCTTATGTTCCAGTAGTTTATTATAAAGAGCAAACTGCTTACTGGCTTGAATAATCTGTTCAATGCTCTGTGAATTTAGGCTGTACTGGAGACATATACTCTTGATCTCTTATTGGAGCTGGTGCATATTGCTAGAAATAGAAGATTTAACTGGCAGTGTAGGGGCTTGAGCAGTTTCAAATCAGTATAGTTAACATTGAGAATCCAGAGAATTAATTCCAGTCTTTGCAAAGCCAGCAAGTATATTTTTAACTGTCAAAGTCTTCTTTCAAGCCATATTAAATAGTCTTCAGAAATCTCTTTTTGTCATTTGAATATAGTCCATTCTGTAATGTAGTAGTGCTTCCAGCTTGTTCAAATATGCCTTGCCCAGCAGTTTAAAGATTCTAACATCAAGAAATTGCAAACAGTGAATTGAATACAGCAGAAGAATTATAAGAAGAATCTTTTTGTGGTCAGCATATTCAATAAATTTCATATTTATATAAGAGAAATGCTTATCTAGTAGAAGCAGATGTCTTTCTTGACCAGCTTGTTCCTTAGTATGCTTATTGAAAACCTGTTTCAACCACTCCAGTTCATATTTATTATTACTTCAATCATTTGTTAAAGCTGCAAAGTAGGCCCATTCACTTCCATCATAATTATCTAGTCATGTATTCTGGAGATCTCACAATTCACTCTAGTAAATAAGAGCTGAAGGTAGTACAATTTCTTCAGCAGAGACTGAGCAGAGCAATAAGAGAAATTTCTAACTACCATTCTGGATAATAGTATTCTTTCCAGCTTATAGGGCTTCAATAGAGACTAATTACTTTGAGGCATGGCAGAAGTCTAGAAGAAATCCTTTTTTATTAAAGTTATAGATGTTTGAGAGCTCAAGATTATATTGATTGATTTTCTGCTCTAACTACTTTATAAGTATCAAATAGTTAGCCAGTGTCAACAACCACAATTACAATTAATCAAATAAATCATCAAATAACAAGTATATAGAAGTGCTTAAAGTACTGAATCTTAGAGTGGTATCTGGTTCCAGAATTTCCTGTCCCAGTCCCAGATTCCTGTCCCAATTCCCATCCCAAGGACAGGATCAGGTTGAAGTTCAGCTTAATGGAATAGGACCAGGTTGTTTAACAGCATATTGGGACAGTTCTGTGGGAACTGGGATTGGGATGGGATTGGGACCAGGATCAAAATCTAGCTAGTAGAACAGGCCCGGGACCTGACATGACAAAATGAGATAGGACTGGGATTTCAATATTGTATATGGGACAGGACCAGTAAAGTATAGAATGGGACTGGGAACTCCAGTCCCATTTGTGTTGTCAAAAAGTAATGAAATTTGGTAACAGTCCTAACATAATTTTATCAATTTATTCAACTTTGGAAAAGTACTGAAATTTGGTAATGCTCTTTGCATAATTGAATCATATTGCAAGCTATTAGCTACTTGAGTCTATCTATTGATAACATTGATGTATTTCCTGTTCCTCATCTGAATTAAGTAGTGAATTTAGCAGGCTTGCAATCTCTTTCTGTACAATCTCTGGAGTATCTTGATCATCTTGATTATCTTGAATGACTTTCTTGGCCAACTTCTCATGTGATATGAGTGCTTCATCCAGCATATGCATCTTATCTTCATGTTTAAGCAGCATGATCTTCTTGATTGTAGATGCATGGAGCTGCAATCATCAATAATAACATGTATCCTGAGCAATATTGAAAACTCATTCTACTCCAACTCCTGTCAAAAGTATAGCCAGAATATCTCTTGCCATTCAAGCAACAGTTGGAAAATCAGGCTCTAGCATCCTTCACTGTTCCAGAATTGAAGCTCAAGATGATGTTAAATTCTCATTATTTAAATATTACTCCATTTCATTTTGAAAATTTGCTCATCTTTAATGAAGTCTCTCAAAAATCATTTGCTCAATATTCTAGAGAAGTTAGCAGAGAAGAAATCAGAATAATACTTATAACAAATATACATCATTCACATTAAGTATTACTTCTCTTGGCTGTTCATATTTCTTATAATGCTTTTTGTAAAACCTCAAAATATATTGTCAGTATGTTTCATGCTCATTACTGGTCCAATTCTCTGAATTATATGCTCTCATGCAGCATGATGGATGAAGGGCAGCAGCTACAGCTAGCAGCTCACTCTTTGAATGCTCAGTATTATTATAGTATTTCTGGAATTTCAAGTTGGCAGCTTTGATAGCTTCTTGAATGTTCTCTCTTGTTGTCAACTGTTAGATCTTGTCCTCCTCTCTTTCTAAATGCTGGAAAAGATGATTGTACATTGCCCATACCAGATAAATTGTTGGGCCTGTTGTTTTGGACAGTATCTTGATAAATTAACTAAATGGCTGCAACAGTCCAACTATATACTCTAGCTGCTTTCAGTCATGGTTCAATAAGTAAAGCCTTTGATATTTTAGTGATGAGTCCTGAATTCATGAGTTCACAGCTTGTTGAAGCAACAAGATACAAATACACATCTTATAGATGGAATTCCATCTTGTATGAATATCTTGAATCATCTTGTGCTGGTTCTCTTGTTAATATTCTCAGAAACATGCAGTGAGTTGGGGGAAGACATTGATTGCATTGGCAACAAGACAAATCTATTGTCAAGCAAAAATTAGTAAATCAACTCAAGTATATCAAGACTGTTATCAAATTTCATTACCTTTCTAAGAGTATTTGCAAATGTGTCTGTTGATGCTAGATTATCAGTAATTGAGCTCTTATTAAAGATAGTGGATAGAGCATTATTGTCTGGCTGAATCTTGAGATTGCAAACCAGCTCTCAAACCACAAGTTGAATCACATGAGCAAGACAGAATATTATCCCACTCTCTGCATCTCAATTAGTTGTCTTGTTCAACTGCTGCAATACTAGTCTCAACTGATGTGTAAGATGTGCTTGCATGGTATTATTGTTTAATATATTGTCACTTGTAATTGCAAGAAGATTGCTCTCAAGCCTCCATGCTGCTAGTAATTGTTGGAGAATCTCTGCCATATTCTTGCCAGTATGAGCACTCTCTAAACTTTCAAAATCCAGTAAATGCTCATGGTACTTCCAATTCTTTGTAATGTAATAACCATTAATTGCCATAAAGGCAAGATTATTGGGACTTGTTCAATTATCCACTGTCAGAGATATCTTGATTGTTGGGTCATGGTTAAAGAGAAGATTTCAGAATAGCTGATTGTACATATCATTCATGATCTGATATAATATTTCTCATATGGGTATCTGTAAAGCCATTGCAGAATTAAGCATGGTTATTAATGTGCAGAATACTGGATTCTCAATAGCACAAAATAAGAGATTCAAGAATATTAATGTTTGCACAAGCTGCTGGAGAAAATTGTCTTGATTACATTCAGAAACAGGCAGATCTGAATCTGTTCAAGAATGCTTCAGAAACTGTTGCTAAGACACCAGAACTGTTACTAAAATTCATTACATTTGGGAAATTAGAATCCATGACCTACCATCATGTTAATCAGAGTATTATTCTGTTTGTCACCAGTTTTTGTACAATCTTTACTCATTAAATGCTTCTTCAGATCACTTGTACTGTTTTGAGAAAAGCTTGAATAGCTGAGAAAGATTTGGCAATGCTTGCAAATCATCTCTGGAGTACTCTTAGAATGCTCTGCCATCTGATCAAATTTTGACCAAAAATCAGAATGGTGTTGCTTTGTCTTTTAGTTGAGGTCACCACACTTCTTATCATTAATCAACTGAGCAGCTTCAGTAGTCAACCACCAAGTAACAAATAACTTATAATACAGCTTTTTCCACAATACAAATTGTTTTTTTTCATGTTGAACTATGATTAATTCTGAAGAAACCTCTGTAAATTTTGCTTGTTTGCTGGCTTCAGTTATTAGATTTTTCTTTTTTTTTTTTTTTTTTTCACAATCAAATTGATTTTTCTCTAAGTTCTGCCTTAGTCAAAAAAGTAACAAAATGTGGTCAGAGTCCACACAAAATTTGACAATCTCTAGATAGTTAGCCTCATTTTACTCTGTAAGTACAGCAACTAACTACAAAATCTTCTTCTTCTACAAAATGGAACATTCTTCTTCAGGAAAATAAAACATTTTGCCAATTTAATAGCACCCCATTCTCAAATTAATATGAAAAAAGAACTAAATACCTAACTTTCTTCTCTAGATATCAATAATTCAATCATCCTTCATCTTATTGTTCTTCTCATCATCCTCATCAGAGAACATCACAATCTCAAAATTATCTTTCTTCATCTTCTCTGGAGCAGGTGGACTGTTGTTATCTTCACTCAGACTCTGTAATTAGCTCAGAAATCCTCTCATCTTCTTCTCAATCCCCTCTCTTAACACACCAACTGCAGCAAGATAATCATGACCATGGGTCATGATTTTGGCCTCAAGCCTGGCTATCATTTAGCAGAATTGGGCCTCCCTATATGCAGCAATAGAATGCTGCACCTGGCTTGTTTTGATCTAAATATATCAGAACCATTACTAAATTTCATTACTTTTGAATTCTATCTTCTTTTTCTGCCAAGCTTCATTCTTAGTCTCTGTGGCCTCTTCTCAGCAACACTTCTTCTCTTTCTCTCTCTTTTTTTGCTGAGAGATCATGAGCTGGTGCTTATAGTACTTCTTTAACTTGCTCTTGACAAATTACTTGACCATCAACTCTTCAATGACTTTATCTTCAATTGTCTTGTGATTCTTCTTGCTGCTATTCTGCCTGCAATAGATGTCAATATAATTCAATGCAAACCACTGAGGGTGCATACCACTTATATTTTGCTCAGATTCTCTTCAGCACATCATGGTATGTCTTGCAATCTGCCTCTTCTGCCTTGAATATGTCTTTTTAATGGTCTTTCAAGACCTGGTGGTGCTCTCATGCTGCATGAGTCTTCTCTCTTATTGAATATTGTTTTGGCTCCATCTTCATGATTGTATGTGATGAGTTGAATTGCTGGCTACAGAATAATAAGATTATAGAGTATATTAATCAAGTACTTGCATAGAATGGTTACTATACACATTGTTTACATTCTACAGGCATGTTGCTATGGGCAAGCTCAACATATTGTTGCTATGCTGGCTACAGAATAATAGAATTATAGAGTGTATTGATCAAGTACTGTAGAATGGTTACTATACACATTGTTTACATTCTACAGGCATGTTGCTATAGGCAAGATCAACATATTGTTGCTATGCTAGCTACAGGATAATAATATCAGATTAGTCTCTCTTCTCTTTTCTTTCTCTTTCTCTTCTTCTTCTTTCTCTTCAGGGCTAACATTGATGATTCCCTCCCTCTCTCTCTCCTCTTCCCCCCCACCATCTTTTTATTTACTGCACTTTGATGTCTGTGCATACAATGAACATATACTGCAACAAAATGGGTTGTGTTAAGAGGTGAGTGCTTGCAGAATACTGCTCTGGCACACATTATTTACTGACAAGATGTTAGTTTTCCTCATGCATGTTCATTTTGCACAGCTGGAGAGGAGCAGCACAAGACTGCATTGAAAGAATGAGCTCTGAAGAAGAGCAATTAGCATAAAGTTAATAAAGATGTTGATCTGGCTAACTTTGACCAGGAGAATTTCTACCCCTGCCCCCCCATTCAAAATTGGAAGGCTGGCACTTGTATGTTAAAAAGTAATGATTTTTAGTAACAGTCTTGATGCTAATTGGTGAAAATAGGTACCATCAAGAAAATCCACCACTTTCAGAGCTTTATCAAGCTAATCTTGCTGGTGGCCCTGTTCCAGTGATTGGTTCAGGAAATTACTTTGTCCTGTTATCAAGAACATGAATATTGCTGGCAACATACTGTCATTAAGTCACTTCAGAAGACAGCTGAAGCAATCTTGTGCACTCTGTTTGAGTGTAAGTCACTCTTAGCAATGGCACCAACAATTATACTGAGTAATATAGGCTCTGTTATGGCAATGGCACACTGTAAGCATGTTACAGTCAACATCAATAATATGAAGCTTGTTCTTGGCATCAGTGCCAAAATCAGGTTAAACTATTTTGGCCTGATTGATGCACCTGATTACTCTACTCCTGCTACCACCATCCATCACCTGTGTGCTGCCCCTGCCCTGTCAACTACTGCTGCTGCTGCTTCACTATCACTGCCACTGCCCACCATCACCTTCCTGCCTCCCTCTGGCACTGTCAGGGTCTCCACCCATCAAATAGTGGATATTAGAGCCCCTGTCTGGTTCACAAAGCCAGTTCTGGAGAAGCAGGAGAAGAAGGAGGAGGAGAAGAAGAAGAAGAGGGAGAAGAAGGACAATGATGATGATAAAAATAATGACAATGATGATTAACTTGCCATTTAGATAGTTCCTGTTTGTTTGCTGGCTTCAGCTATTAGTTAGTTTTAATACTTTGTTTCTTTTGACAATCAAATTGATTTTTCTATGGGTTCTACCTTCATCAAAAAAGTAACAAAATTTGGTAACAGTCCACACAAAATTTGATCAGTTTGACTCTTCTCTATGAATTTGACATGATGGGACCAGGAATCCTGGTCCCATTCTGGTCTCACTATGGACCCAGCTGGAATGGGAAATGGGAGTCTACCATCTCTGCTGGGATGGGATGTGGAACATAATTTTCTATTTGAGGATGGGACCAGGAAATAATTTCTGGAATAGGAATGGGAATGGGACCTCAAGCTCTTGAGTGAGATGGGACATGGGACTGAGATTTCATATTTGGGATTCTGGCTGTTTCTAAATTCAGGACAGGGACCAGGTTCAATGGGAAATGGGATCCCATTCTGGTCCCAAATACCAGCCTAGTACTCTTTTCTACATACAATTCCTCCTATAGATTTATTGTTATACTGATCTATACATACAATTCTCACATCAAGCTTGTTCTGAGCCTCAAATAATTTCTATTAATCAGTAGCAGAAAAATCATTATTATGAATATAATAATAATCAGCATAAATACACTTGCTACATCAAGAAAAATAACTTGATTTTAAGCAAGTCTTACTTAATAAAAAGTACTGAGAGCAAGAAGAAAGCATCATGAATCTGAATTACTTAATAACAGAAAGAAGATTATTCTTGTAAACATTAAAAATAGATAATATGATGAAAGAAAATCATAAGAATACTTACTAAGAAGAAAAACAAGAGAAAGTCAGAAATTCAAGAAAGAGAGAACACTTTTTTATATTCTAAAGAAGTAATAGATAGAGTAGTTAAGAATAATATACTGTAAAAGAAGAGAATAATATTATAAATTCTGCAGCACAACAATAAAATATATAGAATGATTAAATAACATCTAACAAAATAAAATTACAAATTATTATATAAAAGAATATTAAGATAAGAATTATGTAATCAGTAATAGAACTGATAAGCTGACTGATTGCATCAAGCATAATAGAATTAATTGAAAAACATAGTAATATATTATAATAGAACAGATAGAACAGTTTAGCAGAACTATTATTAAAGAAGCATCATGTATATAAGAATGCTTATTATCAGAAATTTAATAAACTTGTTTATTATAATTAATCTTCTTACTTATTTACTAGATATCTTTAAATCAGATACTTTTATATCTTGATTACTTTCTATATTACTGAAGTTCTGTAATACTGTATAACTGTATCTGATTCTGCTACTCTTGAGAAGGCTTTATAGTCTTGCCCTGACTCTATTATACCTGCACAGAAACTCTTTGTTATCAGAGCAAGACTGCCAGCTCAACTGAAGCACCATTGGACTATTGATCACTATCTCAATCTGTTATTACTTACTGTGATGCCCTTTGACCCCCAAAGATCCAAGAGTGTCACATGAATACATAACACTATGTTTGTAACATAATCTTTAAAATTTTGTAAAATTCAAATCAATAAACTAGTACAGTTGAATATTTAGTCTTCTTGCAAAGTTTTTCTCTGACTAGGCCAGAGTTGACCACGACAGTTTCTTTCCTCACACAAGCATTTGACAGCATCAGGATCAATATCTTTTCCATCCTTTATTGGATTCCAATTAGGATGATAATCAAATGTAAGTTCTGTACCTGCTGGTATATTAGTTAAAGCAAAAAAAGCCAAACCAAATATACGCTGGTCCGCATGCTTGTGGGACACGGGAAACATTTTGCAGTTAGGGTTGCAAGAATGATTCATAAACCGAGTAACAGAGCCAAATTTCCGCCCATCAACTACATACACTTCCTCATCATCAACGAGAAAGTCTAATGAAAATAAGTAACTGGCTTTGTTGGAGATAGCCTTTTCCCGATTATCGGCTTCGGATTTTGTAAGTAATTCTCCAAGATAGCAATCAATGTATTGGCCTGCTTGAATAGAATTCTTTGATCTTAACCCTGCAGTTTGTTGCGCGTAAGTAGCTAAGTCATGATGTTATGCTGTTAGATTCATAGCACTGCACTTACCAAAGCCTCGATTCCGAGTTTCAAATATTTCAAGCCTGACTTTTCGTCCTCTCTCAACAACTCGATTCATACAAGTCGAGCTGCAGCTACACAACATAGAACACTCATAGATCATGGACTTTCGCTCCATGAAATCTTCTCGTAAAACAACGGCGCCATTATCGCCAACTTTATATGGCACAATTCTTTGGTCCGACCCCTCCTCTTGCGAAGGACAAGTGCATATATTCAAATCACATTTTTCTGTGAAACAGCTGCAACCGGCATGGAAACTAGCATCCACTGGGGTGACACCCTTATGCATTTTGTAGCAACTGACGAATTCGAAATTGAAATCAACGTCGCGGGTTGCGTGATTGCAGGCAAAATAGACCGGGGGGCCATCTATTGACAAAAGTTTTTCGATATAAAGATTTTGCAAGTCGAGAGCCGTGTGGTTCGCGGGCTTGCCAGCTCGAAATGTCCGTGTAGCACGGGGAAGTTTAGTTGCGCTACGTTTGCCCTTTTTGGCTTTCATATACATAACGGACATGCATCTCTGGACATCATTGACCAAGTAATGCTGAGATAACCCATGGTGAGGGGGCAGCGAAGATGCTGGGGAGTCCTCTTCATCCCGGCGTCGTTTTTGGGTGCTGTAGAAGGTCTCTGTTTCAGAACTCGAGAATCTTGCAGCGAGGATGTCCAGTTCCAGAAGACTTTCACGGGTCTGCTTTCGAGCAAACAATTCACGCTTTCCGTTTGTGATGTTTCTTTCTCCTAGTTGCGTGAAGCCAGTTAGAAGTAGCTGCGAGGTACGTAGCGAAGTGCCAATTGCCTAAACCAGTTAGCGCGCTTTGCGACCACAACAATTGTGGGCAGATTTGGGGAAAACAGCAAGGCCCCATGGTCCAAACCACATATCAAAGCCTAAGCAATAAAATGATTTGAAAACTTTTTGCTTGAGCACACCAAAACAATATTTTATGTCATACCTTAAAGGGATAAGAAGTTTGCTCTTCCTCAGAAGTTGTGTCAGCGGTCAGGTCTATCACCATGTTGTGTGCTACAACAGCTTCAAAAACTAGCTATGGCTTTAATCCTCATCAATTTCATAAATTAGAGCATTTTAAGATAACAACTTTTAAATTTTTCCATTAGCCTAGACAAACATGAGAGTTCATTGAAAGCTGTTCTTTTTATAAAAGAATAATATGTTGCTTGAATTTTTGAATGTGCAAAGTTAGCAATACTTATAAAAAGTCATGTTAAAAAGCTCTGCAGTAGTAAACTTTAAGTTAACTTACTATTAAATACCCAGTGTTTACTATAAATAATTAAAAGGTTTTTTTTAAATACTTAAAAAAATAATATAAAAGATTTAAAAAACTCTTTTGCAAAAGCTGAAATTTTAATAATAATCAACTTTAACTAATTTTAAATTGTTAAATTTTCAAATTTAATAAAGAACTCAAATGTTAGAACTTAGAAATTAAATCTTTATTTCTCTCAGATCAGGCTCTTGATACTATACTATGCTAAAAACATTCACACTATTTTTCTTTTGGCAGCTTGGCCTAGCACTACACAATAAATATTGTGTACATATTATGCTTATACATACACTCATTTATTCTCTTCTCTTTACTTTTTTTTCTCAAGTAATATATTTATGTATATAGAGCTTTAGCTAGTAACTTCAGTCTTACTTATAATATTATACATTGCTTGCTTCATTTTACAAAATAAATGCATATAAACAGAATAAAAAGTTACTATAAAAACTAGTTCTGAAAGAGTTTGTCTTGCCTTCATGTTCTGAGATACCAATAGTGTGATGACTGTGACCCCTGCAGACTGAGCTAGCAAACTGGCAGAAGGTTATGCTAGAGCAAAGCTCTAGACCATAGGCAGAAGATTCACTAAAGAAATAAATATTTATCTAACACAAAAGCTTATTGTATGTATAATGTATTTCACAGTGTAGTGGGGATTCTACTGCATATTAACACAAAGGTTGTTCCGGTCCAAGGCGCAAAAACCACCCTAAAGCTACTATCTCTGAGCTATATAAACCACCTGTAGCCCCGGCATTGGCAAATCCCCATCAGGCCCGCCACGCCCCACAAATTTTAGTATAATTTTTGGTGCTGTAGACAGTCTTAGCACTCTTGACACCACATAATTGCCCTGATTTTACTCCAGGCCATATTTTTGATTTTTTTCTTGCTCTGGATTAGCTCTGATTGAGTTCTTCTATCTATAATAGCTCCAGGCCTGCTGAACTTCATCAAATTATTCTTTAGTTGTCTCTTTTTGTGAGGATCGTACGTGTGGATCGGCGTGACAATGAATCTATAGGAGGAATTGTACGTAGAAAAGAGTACGCGAGGTAAAAGGTCTGGTATTGGCAGCTATGTACAACTTGTAGACAAGATTGCCACTGGCTCCCAACAAGGGGTTCGCGCAGTGGTGGCCTTTTATGTGTGCTCGCGAGCATGTGACTTAGTGCCTCACGAGGACACATGTACTCCCAACAGCTCGCGAGCTGAGGCCCTGGGCCCTCGCGGGTGTTGTTCGTCTGTGTAAGGGGTTCGCGGGCGAATTCTTACACTTTTACTTATCAAGTCAAGATACTACTTCTGCCAGTACTTTGTACTCTTAGCTATCTGGAAGTTCTAACTCTACATATTAAAATAAATAATTTCAAGGCTAGTAATATTCTTATTTTTTCTAAAAACTCACAAAGCTATAATTTAGATATGAGTAAAAAACTAAAGTATATTATAAATTCTTGGAAATTCTTGATCTCTTAGTATTATACAGAGACTGTATGTAAAGCAGAGTTTTATGCTTCTGACTACTCTGTATTAGTATCTGATTTCTTAATTTTCTTGTTGCTATTTTTTTTTCCATCTTCTGATATCTCATTTTTCTTTATTGTTGTTTGTTTTCAAATCTGAAGATGGCAAGCTGCTGAGATTTGTCAAGAGTAAATTGTTAAGATTCATATATTCAAGCTCAATAGCAGATAATATACTAAGTGTTAGAACTCTGACAGAGAAAGTGAAGTCTTGTAAAGATTTGTGTAAATTACTTAATATCTTCAAATTATCTTCTGTAATTTCTGTAAAAGTCTTATTCTCTGATATATTAGCAAATCTCTACCAGGCCTGGGGCTGGCCCAGGTGTCTGAGTGGCCAGGGTGTCTGTACTTATGTCACTTTCCTGGACTCACTCCAGGCAGGCACAGGACTTACTCTGGTAAGTATTTTTCTCTGTCATGATTTCAGGCAACTTCTAATATAATAAGTGTCTTTGCTGCATCTGCTGTTAATTTAGTATGTTCTATAAATGTTATTATTTTTAACAACTCTGTTATATCTACTAGATCTGTCATTTTTCATTAATCTGTGCAAGCTGCTTTCTTTTATAGTGGTGTCAATAACAGTAATAAAGATGTTATTGATATTTTTATTCACAAGTCTACTAATAGTATTGCTTATATAATTACTGTTACAATTAATATAAACAATACTATTATCAAATATATTAATGTTCTATTTCATACTGCTGCTGCTAACATCAGAGATGACAATAAATATGCTGCTCTTAACTTTACTGTAGAAAATAAATCTAGTGATGCAGTCAGATAATTCACTACTACTGATGTGAAAAATATAATTATACAGAATCTCATATACACTCCAATTCAATACTATTAATCTTACTATACAGCTTGACTATTTCATGCTGTATAGCTAGATTAGCAAGCTTTACCTATTAATTATTATTTTCTGGTCTTCTTGTGCTCTGTATTCTCAAGAATATAAGAACTGCCAGACTTACTCAATAGGAATAATTCTAGTTAAGCACAGTTCCAGTGGTCTTCAACAAAAGTTGTTAAGACACGCGAGCACTTAGATGAAATAGAGACTGAAAAAGCTGATAAAATTGCTCAAATACAACAGGCAAAGCTTTAACAGAAGCTTCAAAAGAAGCAGACTGCTAGAGATACTGAAGAAAGACAGATTGAACAGGAGAATGCCTATAAAAAGATCTGCAAGCAACAAGAGATCAAAAAAATCAAACATGCTAGAGAAAGAGAGGCACAACATGTTGCTTGTGAGGAGAAGAAGACTTTACAACTAGCAGAGAAGGAAAAACAGATGGTTGAACATGCTACTAAACACCAGCAGTCAGGGCTTCAAGCACTGGCTTCAAAGCACTGTCAGAAGGACTCCCCTACTAAGATTCTCATCACAGAGAGCCTATATAATCTTCTAAAAGAGGAAGTAAGAGCTCTACAAGCCTCTCTAGCAAGACATTAGACTTCTTAGCCAAGAAATCTACTGTTGACATTTCTTTGAATTCTTTCCTATCTACCCCCTGGATCTCTCACTCTGGCCACAATATTAGGCTGTCCACCTATTTATTTTCCTAACTACACTAATTTCTATGCTTCAAAGAACACATTCATTTAATATTTAATAGCTATTTAATAATAAAGATCTGGTTGTTGAGATATTTAATAAATTTGTTGCGTGGAGCATTTGGCGAAATTTGGCTCGTTTAGTGGTGTGGCTCGTTTAGTGGTGAACTACCTTATCACTCTGGATCAACCCAGCCTTGGCGTACAGGGATTCATAACCTTCAATGCAGCCTTCCATTCCGACAAGTAGAGCCACTCTTGAGCTGCTTTTGTAGATAGAACAATGATGTGATGGTGCACTTGATTCGGTGGGTTACTGTCCGCGAGACGCTTTGTCGGAGAGCTGGACTGGGTACGCTTGCTTGGGGGGAAGGGAAGTATTTGTATGGCGCTCTCACAAAGGAAATGTGATCTAACTCTCTGCTCGAGCTCGCCAAGGCCGGTTGCTCCTTATCTGAACTTGAGGTACACACCACTTGTGCACATCGTATTGTCATTCAACTCGCCGCAATGGTGCAAATCGAAATACGAAAACCGCCATGGATATGGGCATGATCTTCTAATGCAGTTCAAATCGAGGCAGTCCCACGACCAGTATATGCAGCAGCGGTGCATGAAGCTCCAGGCAATGAGCGACTTGGTTGGATAACGCGCCCAAAGTGGCGGAGGATGTGCCATCGCTTGATACTCCATGGCTTCAGGCAGGTTCATCGTTGCTTTGATGCGAATCACAACTAAATCCGGATCGCTGGTGGCTAAATGGACCGTGTTGCCTCGCGTGGGTTGTGTAGTGTTGAGACGGGGCTGCAAGCTTAGAGAGCCGACCGAATCACAGAGACTAGAGACGATGTAGGCTATCAGGCCAATCTATGTACTTATTTATTGCGGTCCAAAATACTATTGGTAAATCATAATGACGCCTATCACCATCGATCTAATGTCCCATGCACCCTTGACAAGACCTTTTAGACGAGCTAAGTTGACCGTAGTTCCGGACCAGGCGAACCGACCGCGGCGAGCAAGTCGACGGGTTCGGAAAGGAGCTGGGCCAGGCAGTTTTTGTCGCGCAGTTTTGTTCCTCAGATGATCACCGCGAATGTCAATCCCCAGCGGCCATTTTTCGAAAAAACTGAATAATATGACAGCTGAGTTGCCAAAATGAGTAGTGAAGGGACAGGGTATGCTGTGACGTGGCCAGCCAGGACGAATGGGGATGACTTCCTGCCGGATTGAGCAGCTCGCAGGCGAGACGGGGATTGTCCAAAATCTCGAGACACCTGCCCCGCACCCCCTCGACGAAGAGAAAGAAGGACGAACTGTGAGAATTGATTTACTGTTTTTATCATACATCTCTTGCCAGCCTACCGGTGGATAGAATATATTTCTCAAAAAGAAAAAAAAAGGTCCGGTTGATTGAGCGCTGAGTATACCAGCCATGTGCCGATTCAGGGAGCGTGTACATAACTGCGGCCACTATCACAAATTCCTTGTCATGCCGCGTCCTGAAGCCAAGTGAGGAGCGCAGTATGTGATGAAGGAAACACAACCCAATCTGTCACGACTGGGCTGGTGGGTTGTGGAATTCCCGGATGTGATGGGAAGGCTTCTCCCATATGTGAAGGGCCCGGTGTGTTTGCAAAATCTAGCTTGGTCATTCCGGAATCTATCCAGCTGATGAGGGGAGTAGGCACCCGAACCGACGGCGGTTTCGATGAGAGCATGATTGATTGGAGTGAATTTTGAAAGGGCGATGACACCAGAATCTGGTGTCTTGAGATATGTGTGTGAGGAATAATATCAATAATGCAGGATTGATCCGCCGAGTTGTTGTTCTTGGGAATATTTTTTCAACATAGTCGTGACGGTAGATAAATCTATCCGCGAAGTGGGGTCGTCTTTAGTTGTTGCTCTGACAATCTCGTTCATCGAGTCTGTACCGCTGCTGGTGGCCATTTTTGCCACTAACTGACCGAATGCCCAGATGTCATTCCACTTTCGGTTTCTGAAGGGCAAGGAGAAGGGATTGATCTCTTGCCGGATTTCTGGCGATTTCCATTCATATGTGGTACCCCCAATGCCACTGACGTCAATTAGCACCGCGTTTCCCTGCGAGTCAACAACAATATTCGATGGCTTTAGGTCCATATGCGTAATCCCCCTCCGATGGAGTTGGTGAAGTGCGGCAGCGACTTGCGTAGCCCAGATTATACAGGTCTGTGGTGGGATACCGATTTTCAGCGCCTCTTCGAGTGTCCCACCCGGGTGATATTCCAATAGAAGCCCTCGCAACACGACCAAGCCATCTTTACAGCTTTTCTGGGTTTGGTAAGGGTTCGTCGATATGACTATGCCAGCCAATCGCACAATATTCGGGACCCGGAAAAGGTCTTTCAAGTTCCGTAGCTCTTGTTGAATAACTGCCGTGTCCGTGGGATGGTAGAACGGCCGGTCGATAGCTTTGAAAATATACTCCTGCCCGGCAGCTGCATTGGACAGCTGCACACGATAGACCGCACCTGATATATCTTCCTTCTTTTGAATATCATCGGCCCAGATTTCCCGCACTGGGGATGAGTCCCTGACGTACAATGGATAAATCACACGTGAACTATCCTCTCTAATCGAGTACCTCAGGAGGTGAGCGACCTCATTGTAGCTGGTCGCCGCCAGTTCTGGACGCATCGACAACGGGAGCACCTCCAGTCGTTGTGAGTCTTTGTTTGCCGCGATGGTCAGTTCAATCTCAGTGACAGTATCTTGTAGAAGCGTCAGGCGGCCGAAATCGATGCACGAAATCAGGGACTTCAGATCCAACCTCCGCCTTAACCCTTCGCCCTTTGAGTTCGTAGGCTTCCCGGCTGAACCTTGGGGCAAGGAGAAGGGGCGCGTGAGGGTAAGTTGTGAAAGGAGCTCGCCCTTGAAGGTAACCTTGACGTGCCATTGTCGATCGTGGGAGGACACCACGGCGCGGTGAGAACGACTTGACGGTTCTCTGTGGCCGAGGGAGAGGAAGCCTTGATCTTCAGTATACGAACTGGGGATGAACTGCACCCGAAGTCGAGTCATGTCCGCCGGGACCTCTGTGTTTGGTTTCATGAGTGATGGCTCTTCAATTCGTCTTTCAACAAGCCTATCTTCTCTTTTGGTGGCGGAGGACGAGCGTCGGGCAACCAACTGCTGACAGATTGATTGATTGATTGATTAGTTAATTCTTCTATGCTAACTAGTTTTATTCTCTATCTCTGAATCAGAGACTTCAATCAGTGAGAAGACTTCTGAATAATTTAAAAAAAAAAAAATTCATTATAATTTGGGTTGTGCAGGTAATTGTGTAAATACTTAATTAGTTTCTAGTGATTAAAAAGCTTCTGAATTACATTTAAAACTCTTAATTAATACATTATATGTTCTGAATTTGATATGTTTCAGACTCTTTATATGTGTATTGTAAGGTAGTTCACCACTAAACAAGCCACACCACTAAACAAGCCACACCACTAAACAAGCCAAATTTTCCACCACCAAATTCCTCCAACATTCAACATTCAATATGTGACAACATGGTCAACAACACCTCAATTAGGCTTGCAATTGAAGATCTTGAATTGCAAGAGATTCCAAATTACACTGCAATCACAAGAAAGTACTCAGTTAATCAAGAGACCCTGCACCAACAGCATAAAGACTTGTAACTTGCTCAGAATGAAGCAGCCTCCCAATATAAGAAAAAGCTCTCTGATATACAGGAGGCAGAGCTTCTGAATTATATAAACAAGCTCTCTAGCTACAGTCTTGCTATTACACCTCAGATCCTACAAAATATCATACAAGAGATGACAGGAGAGAATGTTGGAATCAACTGAATTAATCAGTTTCACAAGCAGCATAATAACAAGATCAAATGCATTTATCTCAAAGCAATTAATCAAAACAGACAGATAGCAGATAACTAGCTGCACTGGAGATTCTAGCTCCAGAGATTTTGACAAGTTATAGAACATAGTTCAGGTTCTGCAGATGATCATAAACAAATCTTCTTATTTCTGGGAGGACTTCAGTTTTATCTTTGACATGCAATCTCTTTACTTCAAGATCATCTATAAAGGCTTGAGCAATCTCTGGAAAAACTTCTTGTATAATCTTTATTATTCTGTGTTGGGCTTGAGCTGGCAAATTTGTTGCCCCTTGAACTAAAGTTATATGGTAAAAGAGTTCAATAGAGGTTGCAATGGCTGTCATATTCCTGCTCTCTTCAGCTAATGGAAAATTATCATATCCAGAGAACAAGTTATATAGACTAGCCATAACAAGTCCACCAAAGTCTTCAGTGTATTCATCAACATTAGAAGAAATAAAAGCATCTTGAATAGTAACTTTGTTGTACATATGTACTGCATCAACTAAATAATATTCACCTTTCTGTTTCTTTGCAACCAGAAAATAGAGATTAATATATGAATCATGGCAAGGCTCCAATATTTTAGCTTCTAACCTGTTCTGAATGATTTTAATTAGCTTATTATGTAGAGCACAAGAAATTCAGTAAGTCTTAGTCTGTCAAGCTTTATGAGACTCTGTCTTAATAATCTGCAGAGGCAAGTATTCAGAATGAACATTATATAGATCTTTGAATGACCACACCAATACCTCTTCACATTTATAAAGAACTGATATGAAAAATTCCCTCTTCCAACTTGTTAGTTCAAATCTAATTTTGAGCTTCTCAATTCTCTCATTTGTTAGCTGTTCTCCAACAGAAAAAGGCATGATTCTAGATCTAATATAGTCATCAAATTTACAATTAAACACAATGCATTTCTCCTCAGAGTAATACTTATTCAAACAAACATCCACCTAATTATCTAGATCTTCCAGTTTGCTTCCATCAGATTTTCCAGGTGCTAATGATCTTATCTTATCAGCTTTTCACTTATAAGCAGTGCACACTCTCCAGACTTCTGAAGAAGGTGGCCCAATGTTCCAGCCACTATTGAAAATGTCAACTTGACATGATTTCTTTGTGACAAAATCATGATTTTTGTTCAGAGATGTGTAAATTGATCAAGTACTTCATGGAATAGGTTTTTGAATTAAGCTGGAATTAATATCACATGTATAATGTTCACAGTGAGCTGTAATACTGTCCAGATCAGGAAGTGGAGAATGGAAAATCTGAACTTCTGATGCAAAATTATTCTTGTCCTCTGATTAGTTCATTTGATTCACCAGCACACTGGTCAATCCAATTAGGCTTAGCATGCTTTTGGATTCACCATCACCAGAACTATGTTTCTTCTTATTACTGTAGTCACCAACACCAGTACTGCTGCCAACACTCCCAACTTCTCTATTCTTTTCAACCTCCTGACCTTCAATCTTCTCATTATTAATTCTTATACCCATTGTCTTTGTCACATTTTCTTCATCCTCATCAGGCCTTGTATCCACAGGCACCCATCTGATTAAATACCTGTTAAATCATTTAAATGATCACTGTTTGATTTATCAGTTGCATACCTCATATTATTCAAGCTTGGCTTAAAGTCTTCAAAAACTAGATGATACATTCATTCCTCATTCTAAATTTCACAGTTCACTCCTCTGTCATCTGAGGTGTTGCATTCACAACAGGCAGCAAATTATCAAGATCTTTCAAGAATAAGTTGCTGATCCTCTCTCTTGAATATAAGGAAAGGGGTATAGATAATAATATCTCTGATCTGAACAGACACTTTGTCACAAAACACATAAAAAGGAGTGACTTCTTCTGTTTGAACAACCATGGTCACTCACAGCTTATTTTTCATTGGCAGATTTAACATTTCAGCATACTTTCAAGACAACAAATTGATTTCTGAACTAGTATTGATCAATGCCATTAATTCTTGTTGATTTATAGTGACTGGCATATATAATGAACACATTCCATATGCTGTTTTGGATTTTGGTACCATGGACTTTGATGTAAGTTGACTGGAATTGATCTTTAGCTCAGGCTGAACTGGTTTGGAAACTCCAATCTTTGCATGGCTTTTGCTAGTACTGCTATTCCAACCTGATCTAAAGAATGCTTGATGAAGCTTTGGTGATACACCTATAAGCTTCTTGACTAACACTTTGACCTTTCTATTGAGAATTTGACCCATTAATTTATTGGCATCTGTTGAATTATAGATCTGAGAGAATAAATGATCTGTTGCAGAATATCTTGGTCTTTGTTTCTCTATAGTCTTGTTCTGAATTTCAGGCTTCTTCTGATTGATTGGTTCAACATCTTCCATGATATCATCATCAACACTAGCTTGATTATCCTGGTAGGTAATAAATTGTCCAGTACACTAAGTATAGAGTGTTGCAATCTTAGCTTTTTGACTGTTCTTAGCTTCTTCAACAGTTCCAACATTGACTGATGTTCTTTCTTTCAGTGGTTCATATTCCTTATCTGAATCAGATTCTCCATCAGACATTAGATATGCAAGTCATCCTGCTTGAATCTTTACACTGATTGAATTTGCTGGAGGTGTCTCTTCTTGCTGATTGGTCTTCTTTTTAGGGCTTGTTGACTCTGGAATTGCCCATTCATTCTCTCCCATAGACTGTACAATATACATGTTTGGTATTCCAGATTTAGAAGTGACAACTTGATAATTTTGACCAGAAGAATCCATGTGCAAGTTCCCTTCATCATTAATATGACAGAATCTGTTATTTGCATTGGATTGGTATTCATAACACTGAGATTGATGGTGTCCAGGTTTTCTACAGTAAAAGCATGAGAGATGTGTTGAAATTTCTCCAGTTTGAGCTTCTTCTCAGTCACTAGAACAATAGCTTGTCATCAGCAAACCATTTCAAGCCACATAAGAATTGACTAATTGTGGTTGGGTGTTCTCTTGTACTGTTGCAGAATTAGTAGTCACATTTGTTGTATAATTTGGTATGGATTTTGGAGGTCTTTCTCTCTGCAGCATATAGTACTGATTGGAATTCTCTTGTATCTGATTTAACTGTACTCTCATGGCTAATGCCAAATTTGTAAACTTGTTGATCATCTTTTTAATTGCAGCTTTAATATTGGTGCTCTCAGAGCTCTTGACTTTGAATTTCAATTCAGATTCTTCAGTCTTCACAGAACTAGCTGTTTTCTTTGAAGCCTCAACTGTAGGGGGTTTGTTAGCTAATTAATATCACTTATCAAGCTTCTTCATTTTCTTCTGCTTCATTTCATCTTCTTTAAAGATCTTCTTATTCCCTTCATACTGGTCAATCAAATTCATGGTCACTCAAACAACCTTCCTAAAATCAATAGGTGACATATTGTCTGAAAGATTGAGCTTTATCTTGTCAATAATCTTATTCTAGAGCTTCTCAGGCAGTCTCTGAAGAAATCAAGATATCTTAGTGAATTCATCAAGTCTTCCATTAGCTTGTACTGTACTGGTGATAGTAGTGTATTCTCAAATATAGGCATGAATGTTACTATTCCAAGCATGTGGTTTCTTTGTAATTGCTTAAAGATAATTCTGACAGTGAATCTTGTAAGTAATGTCCTGATCACAAAATTCATGAATAATCTCTTTAGAGAATACTTCCCAATTATCTTTCTTGTAGCCTTCTAAGGTCTTCATTCATTCTCCAATCTATGTAACACAGTATCTAGCCAACTGTTTGATAATGTTCTTAGAGTCAATTACCCCATGATCCTTGCACATTTGATAAAACCTTTCAATAAACAAGATAGCATCTCTGCCATCAAATCAAGATGCATTTGCTGTGCCAGGGGAAGGCATAGAAATGTGAGAGTGAACCACAATTCTTCTGTTCTCATCTTGTGACATGGTCACATACAATTCTGTAGTACCTTCAATCATAGTTGATTCTGATCCTGATTTCTTGATTTCTTGATCTTTAGTCATGTCATACAGTATGTTCTGTTGTTTCTTAATGATTTAATATCTTTCCAAAAAACCTATTTATCAGGCAAGCTTTAGATAAGAGCCATTCAAATCTAAGCTCCCTAATCTTATTTCTAAACAAAAACCTGATTAGTACTGTATTTCTAGTCC